GAAATCCCTTTCTCCAGAAAGCGTGGGCTGTGACCCAAAGCAGGCCAGCAAGCACACAGCCAAAATGGCCTCTCTTATGTCTCCGATGTAGGTGAGGACTGTATCTCACCCTATTCACCCTCGAGAGCTCATCTTCATAATCTTACCATGGGCTAATCTTGGTGCAAAGGAGATGAGGGAGACCCAGGACATATGGGTGGGTGCTTGTCGAGCTAGCAGCCTTCGCTAGAAGAAACATTTCTTACATAGAGGAAGGTGACTGCAAGGGTGTGAGCTCTTAGCATGTGTAGCAGGTAGATACGGGTGGCTGGTAAAGAAAGAGGTTGTGTACTTTGTACAGTATTTGCCTGTCAGAGGCCTGGGGAAAATACAAGACAGTCCATAGCCATAAATAGCTGCCTGTCATCTTCTGACATCTTGAAACTTAAATATGTCATTTAATTGATACTGTTGGATCTTTCTGTACTTAGGTGGGGAATTTGACAAGTCTTTACTTACCAAAGATTTAAACCAAGACTGTTAAAAAAAAAAGTTTTCTGCTAGTTTTTCGGACTGCTTAGAAAATTATTTTAATAAAGCTGGGACTCAAATATCTGTTTAGATCAAAACACTTTAAATGATTACTTTGTAAATAGCTGTTTTAAACTGATTCTAGTCCATTTAGTTCCCTGCATGCCTGGGACTCTAAAAACTTCAGACCTGTGTCAGAACTTAATATATAATTCAAAATCTTACAGATTAAAGACATTTAGTTTAATGCATGCAAAGTAGCATGCTTTCAGTGTGGTTATTAAATGAGTCTTTTGTTTTTGTAACCTATGATAACCATGCAATAATTAGAACATGTCTTAGGGTTTCTGTTTCTGTGAAGAGACACCATGACCACAGCAACTCTTATAAAGGAAAACATTCAATTGTGGTGGCTTACAGCTCAGAGGTTCAGTCCACTATCATCATGGTGGGACATGGCAGCGTGCAGGCAGACATGGTGCTGGAGAAGTAGCATCTTACAGGCAACAGGAAGTGGTCTGAATATCATAATAAATGAAGCAAGCATATATGAGACCTAAAAGCCCACCTCCACAGTGACACACTTCCTCCAACAAGGGCATACCTACTCCAATAAAGCCATATCTCCTAAAAGTACCACTCCCTTTGGGGACATCTTCTTTCAAACCACCACATTCCTCTCCTTGGCCCCTAAAGGCTTGTGGCCATATCATAATGCAAAAATGCATCCAGTCCAACTTCAAAAGTCCCCATAGCCTCTGACAGTCTCAAACTTGTTTCAAAGTTCAAAGTTTAAAGTCTTTTTTCTGAGACTCATTGAATCTGTAGTCTCCTATAAATCAAAAAAGCGAATCAGATACTTCCAGTATAATGGCATGAAATATACATTACCATTCCAAAACATAGGGAAGGAAGCATAGTGAGGAAATACTGGACCAAAGCAAGACTGAAAACCAGCTGGGCAAACTCCAAACTCTGCATCTCTGTGTCTGATGTCAAAACACTCTTCAAGGCCAGGTGGAAGTGGCACACGCATTTAATCCCAGCACTCAGGTGTGGTGGTATTGTGTTCCCCAAAATATTGTGTACCCTAGTAAACTTATCTGGGGTCAGAGAACAGAAAAGCCACTAGATACTTAGGATAGGCAATGGTAACACATGCCTTTAATCCTAGCATTCCAGAGGCAGAAATCCATCTGTTCAAGATACAGCCAAGCATGGTGACTCACGCCTTTAATCCCAGAAAGCAGCCTTTAATCCCAGGGAGTGATGGTAGAAAGCAGAAAGATATATAAAGCATGAGGACCAGAAACTAGAAGCATTTGGCTGGTTAAACATTTGGCTGGTTAAGCATTCAGGCTTTTGAGCAGCACAGTTTAGCTGAGAGCCATTCAGATATGAGGACTCAGAGGCTTCCAGTCTGAGGAAACAAGATCAGCTGAGAAGTTGGCCAGGTGAGGTTAGCTGTGGCTTGTTCTGTCTCTCTGATCTTCCAGTGTTCACCACAATAACTGGCCTCAGGTTTGATTTTATTAATAAGAACTTTTAAGATTCCTGCTACACTTGGGAGGCAGAGCCAGGTGGATCTCTGTGAGTTTGAGTTCATCCTGGTCTACAAAGCAAGATCCAGGACAGGCACCAAAACTACATGGAGAAACCCTGTCTCAAAAAACAACAACAACAAAAAAACCACTCCAGATCTCCAACTCTGTTCTGCTTTGTTGACAGCAATACATTTCTTTCTTTTGAGCTGGTTCCACTCCCTGTTAGCAGCTCTCCTCAGCTGGTATCCCACAACTCTGGCATCTCTAACATCTTGGGGTCTCCAAGGCAATCCAGGCTTCAGCTTCATAGCTTCACACAATGGCCTCTCTAGGCCTCCATTCAGAGACACCCCTGCCACATACCAGGCCTCAGCAGCTTTCCTGAGTCATAGAGGAAGATTCCATAATGCCTTTCTTCTACCCTTGACTCGAAAGCCAGAACCACATGGCCAAAGCTGCCAGGTTCTATTGCTTGCTGGGGCTAGAACATGGCTCCCTTGTTCAATTACATCTTCACTAGCTTTCTGATTTCCATGGTTTCCTTCACTGCCTAAGCTTGGCTGTTTTGGAACTTGCTCTGTCGACTAGGCTGGCCTCAGATATCTGCCAGCCTCTGCCTTTCAAGTGCTGGGATTAAAGGCCTGCACTACCACACCTAGCTCTAAACTTTTCTTTAATTCCCTTTGACAAGTTGGAAGCCTGGCTGGGTTGGATCTTGCCCTGAGGTCACCACTCCCATTATTCCTTCTCTTAATCTGTTTCTCTCCTTGAACACAGGATTGAGCCATTCCACCTGTTGCACTGTTTCTCAATCTGTACTGTTTGTATTTTTATGTGCTCAGCTTGCTCCTTTTCATTCAAAATCTTCATCAGAGTTAACACTAACAATCACATGACAGAGTTTACACTAGGCTGTTTTGAAATTTCCTCTGCCAGTGGAATTAATCCAAAACTCCTTACTTTAGCCTCAGGCAGACTTTTCAGACAAGGGCAAAAAGTATCCACATTCTTCACCAAAATATCGTAAGACAGGTCTTTAGGCCACACACTAACATTCTTTTCCTCTGATACCTCTTGATCCCAACAGTTCAAATCACTCTCAGCACCACTGTCTTCCATGCTCCTACTAGTATGACCCATTAAGCAGTGCTTAAAGCATTCCACTGATTTCCTAACTCAAAATACCAAAGTCCAGATTTCCTCCAAAAAAAAACATGGTCAGGCCTATCACAGCAATACCCCAGTCCCTGGTACAAACTTCTGTCTTAAGTTTTCTATTGCTATGAAGAGACACCATGACCATGACAACTCTTATAAAAGAAAAATACTCAATTGGGGTGGCTTACACTTTCAGAGGTAATAGGTTTTCTGTATCCCAATAGAAGGTTTCTCTGCCAACCCAGTAAGCCAGATCAAGCCAAATTAAAAAGTAACAGACCAGGTTTATTTTGAGCAAAGCAGCTTCCAGGTGACCCCTCCAGCCCCCAGAGATCATGGAGGGAGAAAGGTCAGGAAAAATCACATGGCCAATCTAAAGGGGGGAGCGAGAAAAGGAGGAGAGGATGCCAGGGGACAGCCACCCAACCAGACACAGAATAAGAAGGGAAGAAAAGATATACAGAAATAGAGAAAGGTAAAAGCCCAGAAGCAAATGGCAGACAGGATAATTTAAGAAAAGCTGGCTAGCGACAAGCCAAGCTGAGGCTGGGCATTTATAAGAAAGAATAAACCTCCATGTACTTATTTGGGAGCTGGGTGGTAGGCCCCCAAAGAGTAATGGGTAAAAACAACCAACAGCATACTCTGATAGTTTTCTTTAGGCAAAGATAGTCAGACACACTTGGACACTGTGCAAGCCAAGCACATTGGCCATACATGACCCAAGGAATATATCTGTAAAGAAGTACTTATATTTCAGACTGGTTTCCTCTATTTGACCTTGTCTGTAACTAGTTAAGATTCTCTAAAAAAGAAACCTGAACTAGGGATCGAAGAGATGTCTTATCACTTAAGAGCACTGGCTGCTCTTCCAGAGGACCTGGGTTCTATTCCCAGCACCCACAAACTTCCATATCTTCTGACCTCTGTGGTACCAGACACACATGTGGTGTACAGACATACACAGGGGCAAAACAACTGTCTTAGTCATTGTTCTATTGCTGTGAAGAGACACCATGACCAAGGCGCCTCTTATAAAAAGAAAGCATTTAACTGGGGACTGGTTTACTATTTTAGAGGGTTAACCTGTGATTATCATGGTGCAAAGCAGATAGACAGCAGCTGAGTGCTTCACACCCTGATCCACAGGGCTGGTAAGGGCTTTTGAAACCTCAAAGCCCTCCCTCCCCTTGCGTGAATCCTAATTGGTCTTAATAAAAACCTGGAACCAGATCCTAGGAATGCCCTGTTTACAGTCCCTTTTTAGGTGACCTTGTTTACCGCAACTGAAACACCTAACATTTCAATTTTTCTTCAAACCTCTGGAAATCACCTCTCCTATCCAAGCATCATCATGATCATGAGATTCAATATTGTTTGTATCTCGGATCCATTCCTCCAAGGGTGCTGACCTGTGCCTTTAAAGGCCTAATTACCCTGTTGCATTGTGTATTATTTTCAAAAGCCAGAGATTTAATTATTATCTGTCTAGCTTCTGAGTTTGGTATCATTCTTTTTACTGCTGGAGTCAATCTTTGTAAGAAATCAGTGAAGGTTTCTTTTGGGCCCTGTATAACTTTAGTAAATGATTCAATTTTCTTTCCTACTTCTTCAATTCTGTCCCAAGCATTCAAGGCTGCTGGGTGGCATAAAGCCAGGGTTTGGTCATCATATAAAGATTGTCTTTGTATATCAGCATAATCACCTCCAAGAAGTTGATCTTGGGAAATTTCCATACCTCTAGCCCTACTTCATTGTTCAATGATCTTAGCCTCATCTTTCCACTAGGTCTTCCATTGTAACTGGGGTCCAGCCTCCAAGACTGCTGTAACCAAATCTCTCCAGTCTTAAAGGATAATTCTATTACAAGTTGATCATGAGTTTAACATCTGCTTCACAAAAGGTGAGTGCATGCCATATGGGACTATTGTTTCCTTGAATCTCCTCAAATCTAACATTTACATAGGAGTTCATTTACCTCTTACACAGTCTGGGGGATATGTATCATTTGGCAGTTCCTGTAAGGTTACTGGATAGATTAAGGTTGGCTGTTTGAAAGCCTTAGGCTGTTTCTCCGTAACCTTATAATGCACTGTTGAGATTGGTTTGTAGTGGGTAGCTGTTCCAGCTTTGACCTGGAAGTACTACCCCCAGTGAGGCTTCTGGTAATTGTCACACTTACCTATGGCCTGCCCCTGAGGCAGGGCTGAGACAGGAGCCCTTAAGACTCGAGTTTCAGATGTACTGGTTCTCTTGGTTCCTGGTGATCCCGGATGCTGGATGTAGACCAAGCAGAGTTCTCCAGAGAACACCGCTGGACTGCACTTCACCTCTCCTGGATCCTGTAACCTATCCCTTTACTTGTTGTAAGTTATCCCACAAAATAAACCTCCCTTTTAACTATGTGGAGTTGCCTTAATAAATCCTCCAATATTGGTTCTCCTTTAAATTCCTCTGTCTGGATCTGAATATCTCTATGATCTGTTTTAATAAGTTTTTCTAAGACTTGTATCTTGGCACTCATATCAACCAACTTTTTTAATGATAAAGCAGAATGGTCAAACAAATAATATTTATAATTGATATTACATGAATCCTATCAACATTAACTATCCTCCCATTTAATTGTTCCATTTTCAGACCATCTAATGTATTATCAAAAAAAGACAAAATTCCCTCCATTATATTATATTATATTAATGTTTCCTATTTTTTAATGTGGGAAAAAAACTCTCTTTTAACTAATTCCTCCCTTCAAGAAATCCCAATTAATTCACCAAATCTGCTGACAATGACGATTCAGATGACAGTGTGTCAGCAGCCCGAGAGAGGGTCCAAAGAAAGCCACAACCCACTGGGAGAGGGAAGAAGCAAAAGATCCAGCCATCTGCACAGAGGAACGTGTGAAAGTGGCAAACTCCTGTGGCTTTTGGAGCCCAAAAGCCTGTAGAGTCTGCTGCAGAGAGGCTGCAACAGAAACTTAGCCGGCAGGGTGGGGACTCCGGCCCAGGTGGGGCTCTGGCCTGTGCTGATGGTTGCAAAGCCGCAGGCAAACGGCTTTTTCATGATATTGTGCCCCACATTGGGTGCCAGATGTTGAGCAAATCCTAATTGGCCTTAATAAAAACCCAGAACCAGATATCAGGGTGAAAGCTGAAAGATCAGAGAAGCAGAGCAAGCCACAGCTACCATCTCTTACCTCACCAACTCCTCAACCTTAAAGAGACTGACTTCCTGTCTCCTCCCCCACCTTATATTCCTTTCTCTGCCCAGCCATATTACTTCCTGTCTCAACCTTCTTAATGCTGTGATTAAAGGTGTGTGATCCCAAGTACTGGAATTAAAGGTGTGTGCCACCACTGCCTGGCTCTGTTTCTCTTTGAGACTGGACTAATCTCATGTAGCCCAGTGTGGCCTTCAACTCACAGAAATCCAGACTGATCTCTGCCTCTGCCTCCCGAGTGCTAGGATTAAAGGTGTGTGCCACCACCGCCTGATCTCTATGGCTAACTCTGTGGCTCGCTCTCTGCTTTGATCTTCAGGCAAGCTTTATTTCCTAGAAACCAAACAGTATATCACCACACCACCCCCACCCCCAGTGGCACACTTCTTCCGACAAGGCCACACCTCCTAATGCTTCCTTCTCCAACAGTTCCACTCCCTGGTGACTAAGCATTCAAATATACAACTCTACGGGAGTCTTTCTCATTCAAACCACCACACCTCATCTCAAATACATAAACTTTGAAACTGCCATAAAAAGTTAATTGGCACTTAACTGCTTGACATGTGTCAGTCCCCTCTCCCTCAGTGTGTGAACAAGTTGGACCAACTGGGATAGATCTGATCCTATGGAGAAGAAACAGTGGAGCTCAAACCACCCAATTGGTAACCAGTGGTGTCTTCAGTGAATAGTGTTCAGAGACAAGGGGGTGTGGGGCTGTCAGACTCAAAAGTCACAGCGGGCTTAGCCGTGCTTGCCTGCAGTCCCAGCGCTTGGGAGGTTGAGGCAGGAGAATTGTTTGAGGCTCTCCTGGGCTTTATGATGAGATACTATTGCCCACCGACAGCAGGATGGAGTAGCTTGTGCCAGCCTGGTTACCTGTCACTACCTGAACGTGTCGTAACAATGGTTCTTACTTATATTCCTGTTGTGGTGTTTATTTTAGACACAGGCACGTGTCGCCTCAGATGTTAAAGAGTGGGGAAATGTAACATTTGACGTTGCAACATGACATCTTCATCTACCAGTGTATTAGGCCATTTCCGTCTGTAGCTGTCCTGTTTGGACTCACCTGCCAGAGCTCAACACAGCGCAGGCGCACAAGCACTGGGAGACTTATGAAGAAGGCCTTGTGTCTGCCATGTTGGTGTTAGATCGCAGACCTGTCCCATTGAGACTCTGGTCACTCTAAGCAGCTAGCTTAGAGATCAGGCCATGCCTCCTGCCCTTCTCTCTCTAAGAGAGTTTAAAAGCCACCCTGCGCCAGATGAACAGCCCGACTATGGTATCTGGTTCCCTCATGCTCTCTGTCACGCAGGCTGTGTAAAATGAAGTCAGTGATGGTCCGCTGAACTTAAAGTCATATTTTCTTTGGGAAATTTTCTGAAGGTCCTCTTGCCCCTACAGCCCTGCTCCCTCTCACACTGTTCATGGCGAAGGCTATCTCTCTTATACTTTAGCTATCCTTCCTCTCTAGGTTTTAGGAGGGTTTTTTTGTTTGTCTGTTTGTTTATTTTTGTTTGCGTCGGGGTCTAGCTGGCCTGGAACTCTGCTCCCTATGTAGGTCATGCTGGCCTCCAACTCACAGAGATGAAATTGCTTCTGCATTACCGCCCCCACCCCACGAGTGCTGGGATTAAAGGCAAGTGCCGCTAAGCCTAGCTAGTGCTCTCTAGGTTTTACAGAGAAGCCTATTTTTCTCTTTAAGGCCCACCCCACTGCTTCTGATATAATGTACTATCTCCCAAGGACCCAAGTCCTCTGTAAGAGCAGCAATTTATATATTATACATATAATTTATGTGTATGTGCACTTCATGTGTGTGACCCCTAAGGAATCATACAAAATTAGCAACAAGCTAACGTGAAGGAACGGTTATCACGCATCTCTGTGGGAATCCAGAGAATAAAGGGCTTTCTGAAGTAACACTGAAGAAACCCTGCCTTTTGGTGGCGCATGCCTTTAATCCAGCACTTGTGAGGCAGAGCCGGGTGGATCTCTGTGAATTTGAGGCCAGCCTGGTCTACAGAGCGAGATCCAGGACAGGCACCAAAACTACACAGAGAAACCCTGTGTCGGAAAAAAAAAAAAAGGAAATCTTAAGTCATGCTCTAAAGCAAGTTTCTAGATATTATCTGTATCTTGGTTGGGGTTGGGGTTAGGGCTAACTCAACCACACTTAAAAAGAGTTATTCCAGGGTTGGGGATTTAGCTCAGTGGTAGAGCTCTTGCCTAGCAAGTACAAGGCCCTGGGTTCGGTCCTCAGCTCTGGGGAAAAAAAAAAAAAACACAACGGAAAAACAAAGCGTTATTCCTTAGACGCCTTCAGTTTCAAAGAACTCAATCTGCCAAGTGGGTTGTGGTGGCCCATGCCTTCAATCCCAGTGTTTGGGAGGTAGAAGCAGGTGGATCTCTGTGAGCTTGGGGCCAGCCTGGTCTACATATTGAGTTCCAGGACAGCCAAGTCTATACTGAGACACGCTATCTCAAAACACAAAGCACCAGGAAGAAATCAAGCTGCCCTTCGATGCTGACAGATCCGTGCATTCGGTGCAGTGGAGAAGCCAACCCTCAGCTGAAATCCATTTCTCTTTCAGCTCACCCCAGATAGAAACGAAATCTGCAAGGATACACACCAAAATGTCGGCCGCGTTTTAGGGTAAGAAGGTAATGAGAATTTTTAGTTTAAAGGTAGACTTTGGGCAGTCGACACCACTCCACCATGTAAATCCTACCCACTCTTAGAAGAACCACTAACCACTGAAGTTTGAAATCCTCATCAGAGATGAGAACCCAAAGAGTCCAAGCACATGTCATATTTACCAGAAAGTGAATTCCAGGTTTTGTGGGATCTTAGATGTTCTTAGGACCTTACACTAGAAGTCCAGAATTGTTTCCATTTTTCTGTACTACCACCACACACATTAAGAAGACTTAATTTCTGTATTTTTATAGTCTTTTTCAGAATCTAGGGATCATGGCACTGTTAGACCAGTAGAAGAGAGTATGGGCTTTTAGGTCATCATGCATGTTTAAGTTCTGGCATCCTTAAACAAGTCCAGTCCTGCCAGTGGTGGTGGCGGCAGCGGCGGCGGCAGCACATGCCTTTAATCCCAGCACTCGGGAGGCAGAGCCAGGCAGATCTCTGTGAGTTTGAGGCCAGCCTGGTCTACAAAGTGAGATCCAGGACAGGCACCAAAACTACACAGAGAAACCCTGTCTCAAAAAACCAAAAAAAAAAAAAAAAAAAAAAAAGTCCAATCCTCCCTCAGTCTGTGGGAGGCTCACCCAGGACCCTGAGAGTATCCCGCAATCTGGAGGGGCCCAGGGCCTTGCTGTGTCCAAGATGGCATAGTACTTGCCTTTTTACATCCTCCTGTGAGCTCTAGACAACTGTGTGGTTTGAAGAAGAATGGCCCTTGTTGGAGGAAGTTTCCTGTCCTGACTGCCAGCTCCAAAATAACCACAAAGAGGCTTAATATTAATTTAGTGCTCAGCTGATAGCTCAGGCTTATTACTAGCTAACTCTTACATTTAAGTTAACCCGTATTTCTTATTCATGGTCTCCCAGGTGGCAGGACCTTTATTAGCATGACACATTCATCTTCTGCTCCCTCTGCATCTGGCTGGCAACTCTCCGACTCCACCCATCTTCAATCCCAGCATCCTTAGTTTGGTCGCCCCACCGATACTTCCCGCCTGGCGACTGGCCAGTCAGCATTTTATTAAACCAATTTGAGTGACAAATTTTTACAGTGTACAAGAGGATTATTTCACAGCAGGCCCACATACATAGGCACATATATTTGAATGCTGAGTCAAAAAGGAATGGAACTATTTGAGGATTAGAAAGATTAGGAGATATGGCCTTGTTGGAGGAGGTGGGCTTTGAGGTTTCAAAAGCCCACAGCAGGTTCAATGTCTGTCTGTCTGTCTGTCTGTCTGTCTGTCTGTCTCTCTCTCTCTCTCTCTCTCTCTCTCTCTCCCTGCCTGCTGCCTGAAGATCAGGATATAAAGCATTCATCTATTGCTCTAGCACTATGCCCGCCTGCATCCCATCATGATGATCATGGATTAGCCTTCTGTAACTTTAAGCAAAGTCCCAATTAAATGCTTTCTTTTATAAGAGTCATCATGGGAGAGAGAGAGAGAGAGAAAGAAAGAAAGAAAGAAAGAAAGAAAGAAAGAAAGAAAGAAAGAAAGAAAGAAAGAAAGAACAGGAAGCTAAGTGGATAGAGAGGTGCATGGGGATCTGGGAAGAGTTGGAGGGGAAAGAATATGATGATCAAAATATGAAATTTTTGTATGAAATTCTCAAAGAATAAATAAAAACATTTAAAAAAACCTAAAAAAAAAAAAAGAGTCATCATGGTCATGGTGTCTCTTCACAGCAATAGAATAGTAACCAAGACACCTACCTATAGAATCCAATGCAATGTAAATAGTTGTTACTGTATGTTGTTTATGAAATATGGTGATATAAAAACAATCCATAGAGCCTGGGGAGAGGGCTCCATGGGTAAACTGCTTGCTATACAAGCATGAAGGTCTGAGCTCTGATGCCCAACACCCATGTAAAAAGCTGAGTATGGTGGCAAGTGTCTGTAACCCCGGCACTGGTGGATGGAGACAAGAGGATTCCTGAGGGTGACAGGCCAGCCAGCGTAGCCAATCAGTGAACTCCAGGTTCAGTGAGAAATCCTGTCTCAAAAAAAATAAGGTGGAGAATGACTGAAGACGACCTCTGGCCTCCATACTCATGTGCACACATACACAAAGACCTGTACAACACATACATAGTCTAAGGGTGGGGAAATGGCTCAGTAGGTGAAGTGTTCACTGCATACATATGAGCGTCTAAGTTCAAATCCCGAGCATGCAGTGGAAGTCAGGCCCAGCAAAACACATCTACAATCCCAGTACTAGGGGAGAGGGACACAGAATCCTAGAAGCTGGCTGACCAGCTAATCTAGCTAAAAAGGTAACTTCTGGAGTCAATGAAAGATAATGTCTCAAAAATAAAGGTAGCTGAGCTGTCAAAATGGCTCAGAGGGTAAAGGTGCTGGTTGCTAGATCTGATAAGCTAAGCTCAATCCCCGGGGCCCACATCATGGAAGAAGAGAACGGACTCCCTCCTCAAAATTGTCCTCTGACCTCCACTTGTGTACTGTGGCACACACACACACACACACACACACACACACACACACACACACCTATGTTCTATACAGATATAATTGTTTTTCAAATATTTTTAGTCTAAGATTGATTGAATCTGTGACTGTGGAACCACAGGTATGCAACTGTATTTTGATTTTTTAGGCATTCCCATGTCTTCATCTAAGATACAAAATTATAACTACATTTCTAGGTTGAAAAAATAGCAACCACGCATACAAAACGCTTCAAAATAGTCTTTTGGGGGGGGGGGCTGGAGATGGCTCAGTGGTTGGAGCACTTGTTGCTCTTGTAAAGGATCCAGGTTCGAGTCCTAACACCCATAAGGAGGCTCACAGCCATTGGTAACTCCCATTCCAGGGGATCCAGCAGACATGCATGTGGCACACATACATGCATACAGGCAAAACATCCATACGCATAAAAGTAAAATAAATAAATCTTGAAAACAAACAAGGACAAGAAACAGCTATGCTCTGTTTACTCAAAAGAGCTGGGCCTGGTGACTCACACCTTTACTCCCAGCACCCAGAATGCAGAAGCAGATGGATCTCTGTGAGTTTGAGGCCAGCTTGGTCTACACAAAGTGAGTTCCAGGATAGTCAGGGCTGTTATACAGATGAAACTCTGTCTTGAAAAACAAACAAACAGGGGGCTGGAGAGATGGCTCAGTGGTTGAGAGCACTGGCTGCTCTTCCAGAAGACCCAGGTTCGATTCCCAGCACCCACATGGCAGCTCACAACTGTCTGCAACTCCATTTCCAGAGAATCCAACACCCTCACACAGACACACCATGCAAGCAAAGCACCAATGCACATAAAAAATAAAGAAGAATGGCTGGGCGGTGGTGGTACACACCCTTAATCCCAGCAGTCGGGAGATCCAGGACAGCTAGGACTGTACAGAGAAACCCTGTCTCCAAACAAACAAACAAAAAACAACCAAAAAAAAAAAAAAGGAATCATTAAAAAGAGAGAGAGCGAGAGCGTGTGACATGGGGGATGTGGCTTAGTTAGTGGAGTACCAGCTCAAAGGCTGGAGGCCCTGGGGTGACAGCACACAGCCTGTAATCCCAGCTGCAGAGGTGGAAGCAAAGACCAGCGTTCTAGGCCCTCCTTGGATCCAGCCAGTTCTTGGCCATCTTGGGATACAGAAGGCTCTGCCTCAGAGCCACAAGAACCAAGGGTCTAACACAGATACGAAAAGTGTTTATTCTCAGGATGATAGTACAGTTCTCGTGGAGTCTATCAAACAAACTCCAACTTACATCCCCCAAGGATATCAAGTCTCTGTCATAGGATAACACATACTCCGTGCACGGAAGACCCAGTCTTTGATTTCTGTCTTTTCCTCTTCCTTCCTACTGGAAGTTCCCCTCAGGAGGGATGAATCGGGTGCTGTCCATCTTTATAAGGCTCTTAGCATATGCTGGGATAGCTGTGTTTCTTCACAGTTTTCCACTTTCCCCCATGTGGCACTTTTATTGACTGGCTTATAATAGAGGCGAGTCAGTTTGCTGGGGACAGGAAGACGTTAAAAAACACAGCAAATAAGAGACAAGCTACGTATGCAGCAATTGCAATCCAGAACCTGGGGTCTTTGAGCAGCGTCTTGTCAAAGCAGCTGAACACAGTGTAACCTATGGACATCCCAGCAAATCCGCCTGCGATGTGAGCAGCAAAGGACACCTTTAGAGAAAGGGGAAAAAATAGAAATGGGTGAGGGAAATGCTAATTCTGTACTTCAGCTGTGGATCTTCTACTCAAGTGCAAATATCATAGTTGGAAAGTCTGGGTCTCTGGGCTAAGACAAAACCCTTTGTTCTCCCAGAGAAGGTGATGTTGTAAAGCACATAAAGCTGGGCATGGTGGTGCATGCCTTGAATCTCAACACTCAGGAGGCAGAGGCAGGTGGATTTCTGTGTGTTCAAGGCCAGCCTGGTCTACAGAGCAAGATCCAGGACAGTCGGGGCTACACAGAGAAACCCTGTCTCAAAAAAAATACCAAAAGTCTTTTTCTTTTTTGTTTATGTAAGTTATTATCATTATTGTGTATGTGTATTATGATGGGTACATATGCCACAGAGCACATGTGGAGGACAGTGGACAGCTTTGTGAGGTTGAGTCTCTCTTTCCACGGCTTTCAGGGACTGAACATAGGTTGTCAGACTTGCGTAGGAAGCGAGGTACACCTGAGCCAGCTCAGACTGATTTTTTCTTCCCTCCTCTCTCTCTCTCCCTCTCTCTCCCTCCCTCTCTCTCTCTCTCTCTCTCTCTCTCTCTCTCTCTCTCTCTCTTCTCTCTCTCTCTCCTTCCTTCCTTCCTTCCTTCCTTCCTTCCTTCCTTTCTTTCTTTCTTCCTTTCTTTTTTTCTCTTTGAGACAAGGTCTTGCTATATAACCCTGGCTGGACTGGAACTCAAAGAAATTCTCCTGCCTCAGTCTCCTGAGGGTTAGGATTATAGGTGTATACCACCAACCCTAAGAAAACACGTCGTTTTACCCACTCTCTAGCACACAAGACAGAACAACAGTTCCTTTGTATTTCTCTTGATCAACTTTGCATTTGGGTGTCTCTATATAGAAAGCCAAGAGAGCAGAGTGGGAATGGCCATGAGGTAGGTATCCCTGTTGTCATAAACTGTTGAAATGAGACACAGAATTAAATAACATTAAATAACAATAGAAACGAACTACCACATTCAAAGGCTAACCACTTAAATTTACTTTCGTCAGCTTTATAGTATGCTTGGATACAAAATTTCATTGTTATATTGATCCATTATTATTATCATTATTATTTAGTCAGAGCCCCATATATCTCATGCTGGCCTTGAAATAGCGATGTAGTTGAGGCTGACCTTGACTCATGATCCTCCTGCCTCTACCACACCAGTGCTGAGATTACAGGCATGCATCACCACAACCAGTTTTCCAATCTGCTTTGAATTCTCTGTGGGCAGAGGAAGCCCTTGTTGCCTCTTTTTGAGTGCCACCAGCATGGCAGAAAAAACAATGAGAGCCAAGTGGCCCACAGTCTGAACTCTGGTTTCCTCGGGAATTTTTCCCTTTTGTTTTTGGTTGTGCATATATGTGTATTAGAGATGTGTGTGCATGTGTGTTTACATGTCTGTGGGTACATGTATATATGCAAGCTGTACTCAATTCTCCATTTATCCACTTTAAATATTGAGGTAGGTCTCTCTCCATTTTTTTTTTAAAGGATCTCTCTGTTTAGTCCTGGAACTCACTAGGTAGACCAGGCCTCAAACTCACAAAGATCATCCTGCTTCTGCCTCCCAATACTGGAATGAAAGGCATGCACTATTGTAGAGTTTACCTAATTATTCTTTATTAATGAAAAGTCAGGAGTCAGATATCGCATATCTGAAATCCCAGAATTCCTATGGTGTGATTGGAGACAGAGAGAGGATGAAAGGCAAGAGCCAGTTCTGAAAGTTGTCCTCTTACCTCCACATACCAACATGAACTTATGTGTGCATGTGCATGTACTGCACACACACACACACACACACACACACACACACACACACACACACAAGCACACTCAAGCACACATGAAGGAAGGAAGGAAAAGAAGTAAACTCACCGGAGATCCGTTTGCAGGGACAAAGAACCTCCTGTAGAGAGCAAATCCCATATCTGAGGCAACTAGAAGAGAAGACACCCCGATGAAGCCCAGGATCTCCACATCGGGCAGGAAGTTCCCCTCAACGATGTCTTGTTTTACTCTGTCACTGTGCCAGCGGGGATTCTTAGAGCCTCCCTTCATTAATTCGTTCATTCTCATAACAGCCCAATGAAGTGGACGTTCTCAGTCACCCATTTATGGATTTATTAATCAAAGAAGTAGTTATTGACTATCTTCCACCTGATGGCATTATTCTCACGGTAGACACAGAGCAATGGACGGAGGAGGAGAGTGTGCACTGCCAGGTATGTTGGCTCACGTCTATAATCCCAGCACTTGGAGGCAGAAGCTGGCAGATTTCTGTCAGTTCGAGGCCAGCCTGGTCTACATACCAAGTTCCAGGCCAGCCAAGTCTACAGAGTGAGACCCTATTTCAAAAACCAGTCAGGCAAACAATCAAAAGACAGCAGTGTGCCATGTTACACAGAGTACTACAGAGAAAATAAAGATGAGGAAGAATTGGGGTGTCAGGAATAGGCTGTCCTTTAAAATATTATTTTTAATTAATTTAGTGTGTAAATGTGGATGTGGATGTGTGGGTGTGTGCCCATGTGCCACAGGGCTTGTATGGAGGTCAGAGGACATCTTGCAAAAAATTAGCTCCCTGCTTCCACTACAAGGGTCCTGGGAATTGAACTCAGGATGTCAGGCTTGGCGGCAGGCGCTTTTACACACTGAGCCAAACATTTCATCAACCAGGTTGTCATTTTTTAATAGGAGGATCAGGGAAGCTCTCCAAGAATCCTTCACTGGACGGAGCAAGTCATGCTGTTGTGTGAAGCAGGAATCTTCCAGACAGAGTGAAGAACAAACATGAATCCTTGAGGCAGAAATGTCCCCCAAATCAGCAATATCACAATCATCTGGGAACTCCTGTTTTCTTTTGCTCAGGATGGGGTTTTACTATATAGCCCAGGCTAGTCTTGAATTTCCTGTCTAGCCCAAGTGGATCCAAACTTGCAGGAATCCTCCTGCTTTGACCTCCAGAGTGCCGGGATTACAGGCAGGAACCACGACACTTGGCACCAGGAACTTATTAAAGATGAAATTCTCTGGCTCACCCTAGACAGGTGAATGAGGAACTAAGGCTGAGAGTCAGCCTCCTGTGTTCCAGGTGATTCTGGACTTGAATTAATGATGAAGAGGTGGGTGATGGGATCAGGGAAGAAGCTGGGGAGAGATGCTCAGGGGTCTTATGAGCCAGGGACTTTGATGTATGACTGACATCTTCATGACAGGAAGGCTTTGAGGGTTTGAATATAGGTGACGTGAGTCTGATGCGATGTCTTGCTTTCGTGGTGCTGGGGAAGGGTCATTCTGACTGTTAGATGGGAAATAGGAAGCAGGAACAGGAAGGAGCAGAGAGACCAGGTAACGGATTGACTTAGCAATCCCAGTGAGGGTAAGGGTAGCATTTTATGCACAAAGGATCCAAGACACAGACTGTAGCTGTAGCTCCCTTGGTGGAGTGTTTGCCTACTTTGGAGAAAACCCTGGGTTAGATCGCTGGCACTATATAACACCAGGTAAGATAGCACATGTCTATAATCTTAGTGCTCAGGATGGAGGAGCAGGAGAATGAGGAATTCAAGGTCATCCTCAGCTACATCTCAAATTCAGGGCCATCCTGGTCTACATGAACCTACCTCAGACCCCTCCCTGCTGCCCCCCAAGTTGAAAATTTAGACATTTAGGAAGAAGATAATCTCAGTAGTTTCTAAGCTTTTCCTTTGCAGACAAAAATCATATATTTCCCATTGCCTGAAAATGAGGATCTGGGACAGAAAGCATAAGTGAAGCTATTGTGAGAGGCACAGAGCACATCCAGAGCTTTCCTGGGCACATCATGGAGGCATCTCTACTATCAGACAGTTCTCATGGTATCATTAGACTATCAATCGTCCTTCATGGTAGGGCGGGACACCCCGAGGAACCCTTCTGAAGGCTGAAGAGTAGATTGAGGGTGTAAACTATTTACAAAGTTCACTTACCTATCAGGATGATGACAAGTAGTCTGACGATTCCAAAGGCAGGAATCATTTCTCGAAAATTCTGAGAAAGCGATAAGAAGACTATAAGCTATAAGCAAACGGCATCTCAACCTGACTCCCTCTTCATTTGCGTTTCATTTAAAGCAATGTTTATTGGTTTTGGTTTCAAGACAGAGTTTCTCTGTGTAGCCCTGGCTGTCCTGGAACTTGCTCTGTAGACCAAGCTGCCTTCAAACCCATAGAGATCTGCCTGTCTCTGCCTCCTAAGTGCTGGGATTAAAGACGTGCACCAACACATCCAGCTTAAAGCAAAGTTTATGCGTCAAATACTTGCAAGGCAAACCACAGATGTAACAGCCAAGTTTTCAAATGCAACGGAGAAGGACAGTGCTGCTGTATTTTGGACCACAAAACAAAACATAATGTTTAATTTTATAATGTAAATGACACAATTTCATTAGTCATAGTTAAATACAAGTAACATAAAATCAATATTTAATGTGTCAATAAATGGAGAAATAAGTCTGGTAAACTATTTCTAAGCCTTTCTGGTTAACAGTCTTTTACTATTCCATCTTCTTTCTTTAACAGTATGAGTTAGGAGAGATTTAGCCAATATTTGAGCATTTCTTTCATTTTTTACGAGACTGGAAATGCCAAGCTATCATTTTTAAATTACATTTTCAAAAATGTGTGTGCCTGTGTGTGTGTGTACATGTCCATGCCTCACATGTGGAGATCATCAGACATGTGAGAACAGGTTCTCTCCTCCCACCACGCGGCCCCCGGGGATCGAACTCAAGTGTCAGGCTTGGTGACAGGACCTTTACCTGCTGAGCCACCTCGCCGGCCCTAGGCCGTTGTTTTTAATCGAACTTTAGCTCCCTGGGAAGAAAGTTTATTATTTGAAAGAGAGGGAGAAGCAACTCAATAAATCAGAATACAGACGTCTGACTAAGCAGTGCCCTGGTGACCGTGTGGTACAAAGGGATTACGACAGCGGGACGGGGGTCGTTTTTTCTAGTGGCCAAACAATTCTTAGATCATAAGAACTCAGTAACTATTGATAAATCCAGATCCCCCGAATCAAACAACGATTCATTTATAAAGAAAACAAAAAAGTCCAGGAGTTGGAGAAATGGCTCCAGAGGATCTGGGTTCGAGTCTAACACCCACATAATGGCCCTCAACCATCTGTAACTCCACTTCCAGGGAATCAGATCCCTTCTTCTAACATCCACAGACTCGAGGCATGCACACAGTGCACATAAATACATGCATAGAAAATATTCACACACATAAAACAAAATAACCAAATCTGTTTTTTAAGTCCAGAAATAGAGTGTGGTAATGCGTGCTTTTCATGGGCAAAGATCCAGAATCTAGACAAGGATCAAAGTAGAGGCCAGCCTCTGCTACGTATCAGGTTCCAGACTAGCCTGGGCTACATGAGATCCTGCCTTTAAAACTTCCATTCCCACAATGCTTACCACTATAACATTCATAAAGTAGCCTCCCATCAACGCATAGACTCCTCCTGAAGCACCCACAAGAGAATTAAGGGGGTCAAAAATGGAGCTGGCAAGGGAACCTGGAGAAATAAAATACAAAAGATCAGATGGAGCTGTAAGAATTATGAATGAAGTAGGATTAAAAAATCTAAAGTAAAAATATGGGACACTTTGATCATTTTCATATTAGCAAACAACAACTCCACCTTGCCCTTGTGTGCCGTATAGATTCAGGCATGCAGGTTATTTCTAAAACATTAAACATTTGCTAGAAGTAAATCAGAGACAAGAGCTCAGACTCTGGAGCCAGGCTCCTTAGCCATAACTTCAGGACATTATTTATGTCTCCTGTCTGTAACGTGGAAATATTAACAAAACAGTTCCCAAAAGGTTGTGAGGCGACGTAAAGAGTTGATACACATACCATCGGAAGGCACTGTGCGATGTGTGTTGCAGCCTTGCTAGCTCTTATTTCAACTGGGCCGGTGAGGTGGCTCAGGGGGTAAAAGCTTGCTGCCAAGCTGACAGCTTGATCCCTGGGACCCACAAGGTAGAAGGATGGACCCAGATCCGAGTTGTCCTCTGACCTCCACAAGGGTCTACACACACACACACACACACACACACACACGTACACACATACACAAAAATAAGTGTGATGAACCATGTTCTGTGCACTACAGGTGTTCTGCTCATGTCCTAGAATTACAGAAAAGAACCATACCCACTGAGCCATCTCCCTGGAGGTGGCCTCAGAATCCTTCTTAACATAAGGTCCAATCACATTCTCCAAGCAAGATGAAACTCACTTCCTAACCCAGTCCTGGACACCCGAGCCAAAAAAAGGTGAGCATTGAGATGTCCTCTCTATACTCCTTACTTTTACTATTTGGTTTTTTCCTCTCATGACCTCCCTTCCTTCCTTAGGATGTAATACATATTTATTTTGTGTGAAAAAGAATGTTTGGGTGTTGGAGATATGGCTCAGCTGTTACAAGCACCGGCTGCTCTTCCTAGGTTTGGTCCCAGCATGTACTTAGTGGCTCACAACCACCCGTAACTCCGGTCCCAGGAAATCTGATGCCTGTTTCTGGTCACGGCAGATACTGTATGCATGTGTGCATGCAGGCAAACGCCCACACACATGAAAATAAATAAAGGATGTGCTGAGGAAGCACTCAGGAAGGAATGACTTTCTCAGAAGGAATTTCCATTATGAGGAGAGGGGGAGGGGAGGAAGAGGATGAGAAGAAACGTCTCTTCAACATGCATACCATGGTACTCTCAAATACACACATACACTAAATACATACATACATACATACATACATCAATGGAATGAGAAGTTGGCATAGAAGCACATACTTTTAATCCCAGTACATGATAGGCAGAGGTAGGAGGATTGCCACAAGTTCAAGGTCAGTCTGGTCTACATAGTGAAATCCTATCTCAAAAAACAAGAACAAAACAAAATAAATGGGGGAAATTATACCACAGCATATTTACCAGATAATAAATAAAAAGATAATAAATGGATTTTGTTGGGTTTCTTTTCTTTGTTTTGGTCTAATTTTTTTATTTTTTATTTTTGTTTTTAAACAGAGTCTTGTTATGTAGCCTTGAATCTACTAAGTAAAGCAAACTGGCAGAGATCTGCCTGCCTCTGCCTCCTGAGTTGCTGGGATTAAAGTTGTGTGCTACCTAAAAACTACTTTTAAAATTTAATTAAACTTTAAAATCTTTCCACAGAGCAAATTACAGGCTGAGGTGATTTTATTGCTGGGGGTTTATTTTGGTTTGTTTTTTGACACAATGTCTTACATAGACCAAGCTGTTTACAAACTTGCTATGTAGCAGAGGATGGCCTTGAACTCCTGATCCTCCTGCCTCCATCTCCTGAGTGTTAGGATTATAGGCACATCCCCCACTTCACTGAATCCCAACAGTCATTTAATAAGAAGTGATAGCCAGGACTGAGAATGAGCCTCAGTGGTGGAGTGCCTGCCTACTGTGTGCAAGGCTCTGGGTTTGGTTCTCAGCACCACTGCCTCTTTCCAAGTAATACCAATTCCGCCAAACCTTCTCCATAAAGCTGAAGAGGCTAAGACATGTCCCTACTTGTTGTATGAGGCAAGCATGACTTCAGTGCAAAGTGAGTAAAGACATTACAAGAAAACTACAGTCGATGACTGTGGAATCTGACTCAGTAGGAGAGCACTTGCCTAGATCTACCAGTGCTCGGTTCAGTCTCCAGCAAAGGAAGGAGAGAGGAAGGGAGGAAGGGAGGAGGAAGAAGGAAGAGGAATGGGGGGGGGAAGAACCACTGTCTCTGGCTTCGGCTGGCACCTGCACTCATATGCACATAATTAAAAATACACACACATACACATAATTAAAAACAAAGTGGTTGTAGCACACATCTCTAATCCCAGAACTCAGGAGGCAGAGGTAGGTGGATCTCTTTGAGTCCCAGGCCAGCCTGGTCTACAGAGTGAGTTCCAGGACAGCCAGGACTACTCACAGAGGAAACCCTGTCTCAAAAAAACAAAAACAAATCAAACAAACAAAATAAGCCTTTTAAAACTTGAATATAAAGTCTATAAAGATCATAATATACTATGACCAAGTATGACCTATGACCTTCCAAAAGCAAGCTTGGTGTACATTGGAAAGTCAGTCAATGTCAATCTTCATATTACAAACCAAAATGGACAAATGGTATAAATAAACAAAAAATAAGTTAATAAAAAGATTGGGCTGGGGAAAGAAAAGAAGCCACAGCTGAGGCTTAGGTGTACAGCCTTGCTCAGCAAGCATGTAGACCGTGGCTCAATCCCCACCACAGCAAAGCCAGGAAGGGAATGGAAGACAAAATACAGACAAGGAGACGATATCTGCATGTCAGAGACAGTTGCATTCAATAGAGAATGTGAGGCAAAAATGTAAATGGGCAGATGACTTAAACAAGTCTTCCACAGAAACAATGAAATGGCAGGAGGGAGTCATTAGCCATCAGAAATTTAAACCCACTGTTAGCACTAGGCACCTGACAGACAGGCTAATTAATATAAGGAAAACTGACCACACTAAACTACGAGCCTAGGGAAGAGCAGGGACTTCTGCTGAGGACACAAAACGGGCCGCCTTACTGTCACGTGCCCTACACAATGTGGATCCCAGGGTCACATCCCCAGAGTGTCTGAGTCGGTAGGAGAGGCTTTAGGTGTCCCGAGCTCTCCGGGCGACTGTGACTATCAGTCAGCTTGGGGATGCTGAGCTGAAGGCAGACTGCCCACGTCAGTCTTTTAATGTGCTCCTGTGAATTTACAGAAAGGAGAAGTCTAGGGATCAGCTCTGGTCTGGTCCCATCACTCTGCCTTAACAGTGTCATCTGATTGCTGGCGCTGTGATCGGCGGGCACACCCCCAGGCAGCAAGAGTAAGGACCCCAGGTGACACCGCACGTGGAAACGCACAGAGAAGGCGGGGGTGGCAGAGAACTCTCTCGGCATCTTGGCTTTCTTTTGCCCGCCGTGAATCGTGAATTGCTAGGGACTGGCCTGTCTGCAGATGACCCCAACAGCAGTGGGGAGCGTAGACCCGAACGGCGAGAGAAACCTGCCAAGAAGCAACGGCCAAAGCCACCAGAGGACGTGGGCTGACCCTTCCCAGTCTCTCCCAGGACTTCTGTGCTCTGATGCTGGGGCAGAGCTGCGTCCACAGGCTGAAATCAAGCCCTGAGCAGAGCAGGAATGTACCGTAGATGCCTGACGCCCGCAAGTCCACACCTCTGCATTCAAGGACAGGACACAAAGACACAGGAAGAAACAGAAAGAGAAGGTGGAGAAGCGGGATGCAGACAGAAGGTGGGGTGTCTGACAGAAGGTGGGGTGTCTGACAGAAGGTGGGGTATCTGATGGGGGGCTAAGCCTTGGCATCATGTCTTCTCAAAGCTCTCTGTTTACTATAGCTCAAGACCGCTTCCTGCTGTCCATACTACTGCACACTACAAATCAGGCCCTCCAGAAATTCTCCCAAATAGCAGTTGACAAATACCTCCCATCAACACTAAATTGAGTTGAATTGTAATCCCTAAGCCACACATTGACATCCAATTCCCTGGAACAATATTTGAAAACATCTTTTTTTTTTTAAATTTTATTTATTATGTATACTGTGTTCTGCCTACACATATGCCTATAGGCCAGAAGAGGGCACCAGAACTCATTACAGATGGTTGTGAGCCACCATGTGGTTGCTGGGAATTAAACTCAGGACCTCTGGAAGAACAGCCAGTGCTCTTAACCTCTGAGCCATCTCTCCAGCCCCCCAAAATAGGAGATCTTACTTGATTTGATTTGTTTGTTTCTTTTGTTTTTTGAGACAGGGTTTCTCTGGGTAGCCCTGGCTGTCCTGGGGCTCACTCTGTAGGCCAAACTGACCTCAAACTCGGAGATCTGCCTCTACCTCCCAAGTGCTGGGAGTAAAGTCATGTACCACCACAACCCATCAAAACCTTATCTGAAAATAAGGCTACCCAGGGGAGAAAAAATGTGAGCACCAGTTGTGGCGGCATGTGCTGGGCAATTTTATGCCAATTTGACGTAAGTTAAAATCATCTGCGGGGAGAACTTCAATCAAGAAAACGCCTCCATAAGATTGGGGTGTAGGGCATTTTAAATTAGTGATTGATGGGGGAGGGTCCAGCTCATTGTGGGTGATGTCATCCCTGGGCTGGTGGTCCTGGGTTCTATAAGAAAGCAGGCTGAGCAAGCCATGGGGAGCAAGCCAGTAAGCAGCACCCCTCCATGACCTCTGCATCAGCCCCTGCCTCCAGGATCCGGCCCTGTCTGAGTTCCTATCCTGACTTCCACCACTGATGAACAGTGATGTGGAAGTGTAAGCCAAATAAACCCTTTCCTCCCCAACTTGCTTTTAGTCACGGTGTCTCATTGCAGTAGTTGTACTCTGACAAGACATGACTCATGCCTGTAATCTCAGTACATGGAAGGCTGAGGCAGGAGGATCTGGTTTGAGGCCAGCTTGGGATACATTAGAGAGTTCTTGGGCAGTTTGAGCTATGAGATCAGTCTCATTAAAAAAAAAGAAAGAAAGAAAGAAAGGAAGGAAGGAAGGAAGGAAGGAAGGAAGGAAGGAAGGAAGGAAGGAAGGAAGAAAGAAAGAAAGAAAGAAAGAAAGAAAGAAAGAAAGAAAGAAAGAAAGAAAAGAAAGGCTAGGCTGTGGTGATGTATGCCCTTAATCCCAGCAACTGGGAGGCAAAGGCTGGTGCATCTCTGAGTTTCAGGCTAACCTGGTCTACAGAGAGAGTTCCAGCACAGCCAGGGCTACACAGAGAAACCCTGTCTTGAAAGAAAGAAAGAAAGAAAGAAAGAAAGAAAGAAAGAAAGAAAGAAAGAAAGAAAGAAAGAAAGAAAGAAAGAAAGAAAGAAAGAAAGAAAGAAAGAGAGAAAGAGAGAGAAGAAAAGAAAGAACAGAAAAGGAAGAAAGACAGAAAGAAAGACTGGGAATGTAGCTCAGCAGAGCGTTTGCCTAGTATTCAGGAAGATGCTGAATCCCCAACACCACAAAAAAAAAACCCATAATCTCACCACTTGGGAAGTAGAGGGAGAAGAATCAGGAATTCAAGAGCATCCTTGGCTACTTAGTAAGTTAAAGGCTAACCTGGGCTACAAGAGACCCTTTCTCAAAAAGCAATAGGAAAGGGGTAAAACAACCCAGATATCCTTCAAGGCGTGAACAGCTTAGACAAGACCATAACACAGACTACTTCTCCACAGTGAAAAAAATTAACTGCGGTGTATTCCTGAAATGACACAAATAAAGGAGTGAGAGCACGTTAGTGCTTGTCAATGGCAAAAAAGGGAGAGAGGTGGGAAGAAAGAGGCTGGGCCATAAGAGGGCAGAGTGAGCGCTCCTCCGGGTGTTGTGGGTGTTACTGTCTCCACTGCACGACCATGAATATCTTGGATGTGTTGCTGTGTTAAAATTTACAGGATAGCAGCACTGGGGACAAATGGCCAAAGGTATCTGGGATCTTGAGATAACATTTCTTTTTTTTTTTTTTTTTTTTGGTTTTTTTTTTTTTTTTTTTTTTTTTTTTTGGTTTTTCGAGACAGGGTTTCTCTGTGTAGCTTTGCGCCTTTCCTGGAACTCACTTGGTAGTCCAGGCTGGCCTCGAACTCACAGAGATCCGCCTGGCTCTGCCTCCCGAGTGCTGGGATTAAAGGTGTGCGCCACCACCGCCCGGCTGAGATAACATTTCTTATAACTCATGTCAATCTCCAGCTCTCTCAAAATTAAAGCATTTATTTATCTATTTCTGGGATATCTATGTAGCTCTGGTTGTCCTAGAACTTGCTTTGTAGAACAGTCTGGCTTTGAACTCACAGAGACCCGCCTGCCTCTGCCTCCCAAGTGCTGAGATTAAAATCGTGCACCACTACACCCAGCAAAAATGTCTTTCTTACATGCAAATCTGGCCATGTTACTTTCCGGCCTCTTCAGTCTAGCATTTCAGGGGCTCCAAGATCCAAACACCAAGCTGCTTGTAGTTTCGAATTGTGTAAATGCTAGGAGACTGAGATAATCTGAGGACAGCCACTGGGACTTTTCTTCATGAGCTTTTATTATCTCTAATATCTAATCTCTAGCTAAATTATCTCTAACACTTACCATGTTCCCTAGCATATTATAATTCTGCATATCATATGCTCGGGTGCAATATATACCGACTTCAGTAAAAAGCCCTCCGTAAACATCTATTCCCTTTGGCTTCAGTCCTAAGAGCCCAGAAGTGTTGATTCCATGTTACCGTCAGAACACTGACCTGCAAGCACTCCTGCCAGGTACACCAGCCCCACTCGGAGGCCTTTGTGGACCATTTCCAAGGGAATACCCAGAACGAGCTGCATAGAGAGATTCCCCACGATGTGCTGGACTCTGCAGAGACAAACACCGTCAAATAGCCAAGCAGCTGCTGTCATGGGGGATTTGCATGTGATAGTTCTACTTAAGAACTTGCTGGAATTTTATTTTCTGTCTTTTGAGAGAGAGAGAGAGAGAGAGAGAGAGAGAGAGAGAGAACTCATGGCAGCCAGAGGAAAGGCTCCAGATCCTTTAATGCTGGAGTCACTGAAGCTGTGCGGCACTCCATGCGAGTCTTAGGATCAAAGCTACAGTCCTCCTGACTGAGCAGCAAGCACTCTTAACCACTGAGCCTTCTCTCCAGCTCCTGTATTCTAGGTTTTTTTTTGGGGGGGGGGGTGGGGGGGGGCGTGAGGGGGGGTTCAAGACAGGGTTTCTCTGTGTAGCTTTGGAGCCTGCCCTGGAACTCACTCTGTAGACCAGGCTGGCCTTGAACTCACAGAGATCCACCTGCCTCTGCCTCCCCAGTGCTGGGATTAAAGGCGTGTGCCACCACTGCCCAGCTTTTAATTTTTTGTTTTTGTTTTTAAGCGGGCAACTCTTTTATCTGTTTTTTCTCTTATTTTTTTTAATTATTTAAAGATTTATTTTATGTATATGGTGCTCTGTCTGCATGTATACCTGCAAACTAGAAGAGGACATCAGATCCCAATTATGGACAGTTGTGAGCTACCATGTGGTTGTTGGGAATTGAACTCAGGACCTCTGGAAGAACTGCCAATGCTCTTAACCACTGAGCCATCTCTCCAGCCACCCCACCCCACCCTTGTCTGTTTTGAAATAAAATCTTACATGATGCTTCCATATGTAAAGCAAATAAAAGTCTTTCAGAAACATAAATGTATGTTATAAATTCTGCTTTACAACGATTATTACTGAAGCAAAGACCAATGAAGCTAATTTAAAGAATGAAATCCAGGCATGGTGGACTTTAATCCCTTTTCCTGGGAAGCAGAGGCAAGTGGATTTCTGTGAGTTTAAGGCTAGCCTGATCTACATAGTTAGTTCCAGGATAGCCAGGGCTATCTGTGAGACCCTATCTCAAAAAAAAATTATTTTTAATTAAAAAAAAAAAAAGAAAGAACTCAAGGTCTCGGGCTGCAGCTCAGAGGGCACCACACTTGCTCAGCATACATGATGCTCCTGGTTCTGTGTTCAGCACCAAGCCCCCCCCCCTGCCTTGTATGTCCGTTAGCCACTGACCCAAAATGCGATCATTTTAAATGGGGGGGGGGGGCTGAGTCACATGGGTGAAGCTCAATTCACCTGATACCACAGGGCTCCCCAAGGAAGTAGGGTAGCCATAAGCTATTTGCTGACCACAGTGGGTAGGCATGGGGGACCAAAGATGATGAGCAAACACTTTTTTAGAAAATTTTTTGAGACATGTAGCCTATGCTGGCCTTGAACTCCTGATCCTCCTGCCTCTACCTCCCACCTACTGAGATTGCAGGCAAGCACCATCATCTGATTCTGAGTAAGGTCTTCAAAGGCTCTCACATTTAAGAAACTGTAAATGACTGGGCGGTGGTGGCGCACGCCTTTAATCCCAGCACTCGGGAGGCAGAAGCAGGCGGATCTCTGTGAGTTCGAGGCCAGCCTGGTCTTATAGTGAGTTCTAGAACAGCCAGAACTACATAAGGAAGAAAGAAAGAAAGAAAGAAAGAGAGAGAGAGAGAGAGAGAGAGAGAGAGAGAGAGAGAGAGGGAGGGAGGGACGGAGGGAGGGAGGGACGGAGGGAGGGAGGGACGGAGGGAGGGAGGGACGGAGGTGGGGAGGGAGGGGCGGAGGTGGGGAGGGAGGGGCGGAGGTGGGGAGGGAGGGGCGGAGGTGGGGAGGGAGGGGCGGAGGTGGGGAGGGAGGGGCGGAGGTGGGGAGGGAGGGGCGGAGGGAGGGAGGGAGGGGCGGAGGGAGGGAGGGAGGAAGGAGAAACTGTAAACAAAACTGGAAGTCAAACAGCCTCCCCTGTTCATTATCTTTCTTGCTTTGCTTCCTTCCTTTGTGTGTGTGTGTGGGGGGGGGGGGTTGTATGGGCAGGTGTTGTGTAGTTGTATCCCCTGAGGCCAGGGGAGGGCACTGGGTCTCCTCTCTCATCCTCTCTCTACCTTATGGAGGCAGGTTTTCTCCTGAACCTGAAGCTTGTGGTACTCAGGCCGGCTGGCAGCTAGCGGGCACCAGCCATCTTCCTGTCTCCACTCGTCAGAGCACTGAGGTTACAGACACACATGAGATCACACCCGACAAGAGCTCTTCACCACTGTGCCTCCTCTCCAGTTCCATCCATACTGTTTCTGTACCTCCTTGTGCTACTATTTAACTGGTAGTGAGTCAGTTAAACCATAGTGCACATCAGTCAAAATGCTCACAATTAATTTTTACAGTGTGTTTGGAGGAGGCAGACTGTGGTTCAGCTCAGCTCTACCACTTCAATCACCTAAATGGTGCACTGGACAGCATCCAACACGTAGGGCGACCTACTTTTGGTCTGATAGTGGTTTGGTCTCAAGTCATTGATATTCCTTTTTTTTTTTTTTTTTTTAAGATAGGGCTTCTCTGTGTAGCCCTGGCTGTCCTGGAACTCATTTTATAGGCCAGGCTGACCTCAAACTCATGGAGTTCTCTGCTTCTAGAGTGCTGGGATTAAAGGTGTCCAGATCATTAACATTCCTATATCAATACCAACATTAGCCAGTTATACAGAGTACAGCTAGCTTCCAAGGGCACATGTGGCACACACACACATACAAAATAATAATAATAACACATGTTCCAAATAGATTAGTGGCAATTTGGGTTCTTGTTTGCCTCTCTCTCTTCTTTCACCCCTTCCCCTCCTCTGACAGGATTTTGATATATAGCCATAGCTGACCCAGAATTCTGTGTAGACCAGGCTAGATCTCAATTCAGAGATCTGCCTGCCTCTGCTTTCCTAGTGCTGGGATCCAAAGCGTGCTCCATTACACCCTGCCTTGTTTTCTTTTTTAAAAAAATTTAAATCTTATTATATTTGTGTTTGTGTGTGTGTGTGTGTGTGTCCCCGCTCACATGCACACATGTGTATCAGAAGACAATTTTCAGGAGTCAGTTCTCTCCTTGATACGTGGATTCTGGGGACTGAACTCGTGTTGTTGGGTTTGGCAGGTGTCTTTACCCTCTGAGACATCTCACAGACCCCCTGTTTTTGTTTGTATTTCAAGACCGAGCCGGGCTGGCTGGCTGGCTGGCCTGATATTCAACATGTAAGTCCTGCTTGCCTTGATCTTCTTGCCTCTGGCTCACAAGTACTGGAATGACAGGCACCCATCACCTTGCCCAGCCTAAGGATCCCTTCTGATCTCTTCTGACATCGTTGACTTGGTCATCATTCCTTACCCAGCATGGACCAGCATGTATGAGATAAACCTCCAGGCCTCTTCCCTCTTATCAGGGCGGTAAGTAAAGGGACTTTCCAAGATCCCCGTGTCCAGGGTGATCCACTGCTTCTGAGGCTTCCACACAGCATAATAAATAAACACGACCAGCTGTCAAGGGGAGCAATCATGCCGGTTAATCAAGCTTCTTCTGGAGGTGAGCCCCATTCAAACCCCCAGGCAGTAATTGTGGCTGAGTGATTAGCTCAGAAGACGTGGGAGTTACATTTCTCCACCATCCCCCACAGCGAGGAGCAGTGTTAGGCCAGATTGTAAGGAAGACTTTCTGAGCCCCCTTCTCCTTGCTTTCCTGACTCTCTGCTGCCTATTACGTTCTCTAGCACCCTCTCAGAACACATAACCCGTGTCCCTCACCTTCACTCGGACTCCACAGCTCAGAAACCTTGCAGATGGTCTAATGAAATGATGAGGATCAGTGCCCCAGTGATGTCATGTGAGGTCCTGTACCCCAGTGATGTCATGTGAGGTCCTACCTTGGGATGTGGTGGGAAGGGAACTTTACCTCTAAGTCATTCTTCCTCTACACTCCCAACTCTAGGCTAACTATGTAAAAAAAACCTCTGACAGCCCCAGACAAGGACACTCTACAAGGTACCTGGCCAGTATACTTCATCTTTATCAAGGTCATGAAAGACTACTGAGAAGTTGTCATGAATCAGAGGAGCCAGGGGAAGCAGGACAACTTAATGCAGTGTGAAACCCTGTATCGGAACCCTGTATCGGAAGGGACCAGAGGATGAGAAAGAGGACATTAGTGAGAAAATCAATCAAATCTAAGTAAAGCCTGGAGTTTAGTTAATGGTGCAGGTTCAGCCTCCTGAATAGAAAATATAAAATCCAAAAATGCTCCAGATTTTGAAGTTTGTGAACACTTGAAAAATTTTAGAAATCTGGAGAGATGCCTCAGTTGTTGAGTGATCTTCTAGAGGACCCAGGTTCAATTCCCATAACCCACACAGTGGCTGACAACCATCTCTAACTCCCGTTACAGGGAATCTACTGCCTTCTTCTGGTCTCTGAGGGCATGAGGCACACATGTGGTACACAGATACACAGGCAGGCAGAACGCCATACACATAAAGTAATAAAAGTTTAGAGAACAAGTTTTAGGTTTATGTGTATGTGCTGATCTTCATGTGTGTGCACACACCTGGAGGCCGAGGCCAACATCCGGTGTCATGCCTCAGGTGCCAAACACTTTGCTTTTTGAGACTGAGTCCCTCATTGACCTGGAGCTCAAACAGCAGGCTGGTCTGGCTGGCTAGCAAGCCTCGGGAATCCATCCATTTGTCTCCAGCTCCCTAAGTGCCGGGATTCAAGCACATGCCATAACTCCTGGCTCTTTTACATGGGCTCTGAGGATCAAGTTCATGTCCACATGCCTGCATGGGAAGTATTTTACAGACTGAATTATCACCCCAGATCCAAAGTTTTAGATTTGGGAGTACTGAAGTCTATAAATATGCCAAAATTGGAGCTGGAAAGATGATTCAGCCATTAAGAACATGTACACTGCACCTGCAGAGGATCTGAGTTCAGTTCACTGCATCCACATCTAACAGTTTAAGACTGCTTGTAACTCCAGCTCCAGGGAATCTAGTGCCCTCTTCTGGCATCCAAGGGTATGTGCACTCACACGCAACCCTCCCTACTCCCACACGCATAGACACATTTTTAAAAATTACTCAGAAATATTCTGAAACATGGGTGCTGAAGAGATAGCTCAGTAAGTAAAAGCATACACTGCTCTTCCAGAGGACCAGAGTTCAATTCCCAGTACACATATCAGGTGGCTCACAAACACTTGTAACTCCAGCGCCAGGAGGGATCCATAACTCTGGCTTCTGCAGGCACCTGTGCTTACACACAATTAAATGATTAAAAAAGAAAGAAAGAAATTATTCAGAAACACAAACCATTTCTGGTGTAAGCATTTCTATTAAGAGATACTCAGCCACTGGGCAGTGATGGCACATGCCTTTAATCCCAGCACTTGTTATAAGAACTAGCAAGACAAGCCTAAACTAAGGCCGAGCATTCATAATTGTTAATAAGTCTCCTTGTCTTGATTTGGGAGCTGGTTGGTAATCCAAAAAAGCCTGCTACAGGAAAAGCTTGCACATTTGCCATAAAAAGTTTGGTTTCTGCAATGGTTAATTTTATGTTCAATTTGACAAGGTTCATACAGACTCAGATATATCTTCAAACATCATTCCAGATGTTTCTGTGACTTTTTTGCTTTTTTTTTTATATTGCCTATCCATTAACTAGTTAGTTAGCTAACTAGTAAATTATATGGTTGCAGAATCTCACTAAATAGCCTAGGCTAGCCTCAAACTTATTTGTACCCCAGGCTCTCTTAAACTCAAGATCCTTCTGCTTCAGTTTCCAAGTTCTGAGATCATGCCCCCATGCCCACCTGAGGTCATTTCTTGAGATGAGATTAGTATGTAGTTTAGTACCCCTTTCCCTCCATCTTGTATATGGGTTTCAGATGAAAGCATTAATAGAAAAAGACTATTTCATGAGGAAAGAATTACACTAGCAAAGGAACTCAGCACAAAACCCTTAGTGGGTCTCCAGCTTGCCCTGAAGATTGGAGAGCTGAACCCTCCCTCACTTTTCGGCTCCCTCCCTCATACCCTGCTGATTCTGTTCTTCTAGGGAACCCTGCTACTACAGTCCCTTAGACCAAAGCTGGAGCATTAGTGGGAATTAAGAGGATTATACTAGGGACACCCTCTGGGCAGCCATCTCCACCAACTCTTTCATAAGACAGCAGTCTAGGAGAAAATCCTTGGTATCACAAAGGTGTAACAAAGGGCCCGGCCCTCCCCAGTCACTAAGACACACCCTTGAGTGACTCATCCCCACCTCTCTGAGCTTTGCCCTCTTTCTGGAAACCAAGAAAGCTGAGCAGGTCATAGACTGAGAACATATCCCATCAGCCCAAAGTAGACACCCACAGCAGATGCCACAGTTTTCCTGCTCAGGCAGCTGGTGACTGTTCTAAATATATACCCCAGGCCGACCTGACCGATCAGTCTATTTTGTTTCATGAAACAAAGCCAATTTGCAAGCTGAACATGGTGGTATATGCCTGTAATCCCAACACCTGGGTGGTTGTTACAAAAGGATTATAATGAGTTTATGGCCAGCCAGCCTAAGCTACATAGTGAGTTGGAGGCCAGCCTGGCCTACAATGCCAAATCCCACCTCACGGAAAAAAAAAAAAAAAAAAGCTAATTTGCAGGCCCAAAGTTCCCTGGCTTCTAAAGAACCCCACCAGCTAAAATGAAATGAAGCTAGTAGAGCCAGTGAGCGATAGGCAGTGGATTTTCATCATGGACGAAACCAACCCCTGGGTTGGCAGCGACTGAGCAAATCAGTTCTGGGAGCAGGGAGTGGGCAGAGGCTTCATGTATGCAGCCCTGGTCCCTCTATGCTCTCTTCCTACATGGTTTCTCCTCCAGATGTCGGTTTCGTCCCCACTCTGTTTGCAGCTTCCGGTCTGAACTGATGTGAGGGCCCCTCTCATGGTGGTGTTTACCTCAGCCAGGCTGACGGAGATGATGAACAGCGGTGGCGGAAGGCAGTTGGCTCTCTCCAAGTACGTTCTTCGGACGGGCTCAGGAAGCATCCACTTTGAGACAATCCTGTGGACTTTTCTGCTCCTGGGGAAGTCTTTGCCTTCCCTGTCCTCTCTCACTTTCTCCTCCTCCAGCTCTTCCTTCCCCCCTCTCTCCATGTTCAGATTCACGCTCTCCATCTCCACATCGTGAGCAGCAGCCATGGGCCTGGTCCTCCCTCCACCTAAAACAGATATGAATGTCAGGGAAAACAAGATGAGCCTTTGGTCTGCAGAATGTGGCTCTTTCCTGGACTCTTTGGAAAACTGTTTGTTTTCCTGGTCCTTCCTGTGTGTGTAGCTAGGAAGGAGGCAGCTAAAGATGATCAAAATGGTCTAAACCTCCTAAGTGGCCCCAAATGATGTTTTCATTATATTGTTTTGAGAGAGAGAGAGAGAGAGAGAGAGAGAGAGAGAGAGAGAGAGAGAGAGAGAGAGAACCAACCAGCCGGTAGGTAAAGGCACTTGCTACCAAACGTGACAGCCTGAATTTGATCCCTGGATCCACATTGCATTGTAAAAGAACAGAACCAAATCCTGCAAATTGTCCTCTGACTTCCACGTGTTCGTTGTGGTACACACCCACACAATAAATGAAAGTAATTAAAAAACACTTAAACAGGGAGTCTAATGCTCATAGACCTTAGGCATGTAGCAAACTCTGCGTTCTTTTCTTTATAAAAACAAAACAACAACAATAAAAAGCCATGGGCCAGTGAGAGAACTCAGTAGGTAAAGGGGTCTGCTGCCCAGCTGGATGACCTGCGTTCGATCCTCCAGACCCACACTGTGGAAGGAGGGAACTGACTCCTGAAAGATCTCTTCTGACTTCCACACCATACACAGAAAATAATTTGAAGTGTAACTTACAATAAATAGTCGAATGTGGTGGCGAACACCTGTGATTCCATCACTTGAGAGGCAGAGGCAAGAGGATAAGAGCACCCTTAGCCTTACAGTGAGTTCAAAGTAAGCTTAGGTTGCCGGGGAAGTGGTGGTGCACACCTTTGATCCCAGCACTTGGGAGGCAGAGGGGTAGGCAGATCTCTGTGAGTTTGAGGCCAGCGTGGTCTACAGAGGGAGTTCCAAGACAGCCAGGGCTACACAGTGAAACTCTGCCTCAAAATAAATAAATAAATAAATAAATAAATAAATAAATAAATAAATAGTTTTTTTTTAAAAAAGGAAAGAAAAAGCAAGCCTGGGCTAAGAGACCTTTTCTAAACAAATAAGTAGTAAAATAGATAAATAATTGAATATATCCTTTTAAATAAAAAAAAAAGCATATCCATGGAGCCAGACAGTCTGGGGACTAAGGACGTACCTCAGTTGGTAGAGTGCGTGTGCAGCATGTGCAAAGCTCTGGTTTGATCCCCAGCACCACACACACTAGGTGTGACTGTTCTGTCATCCCAGCACTTATTTGATAGCAGTGGGAGGATCAGAAGTTCAAGGTCATCCTCTGCCTAGCAAGTGTGGCCACATGGCCTGTAGCTGTAACACTCAGCAGGCCGAGTGGGAAGTGCATTTGAACCGGGGGTGTGACTCCAGCTGAGCAAACCGCCAGACTCCATCTGAACAACAGAAAAGCTGAATTGGTCCACGTAACAGCTGTAAGGGTACCTCCAGAAAGTTATATACATTGAGCCCCAAATTACTTTTTTTGTTTGGTTTGGTTTGGTTTGGCTTGGTTTGGTTTGGTTTTTCAAGACAGAGTTTCTCTGTGAAACAATCCTGGCTGTCCTGAAACTCACTCTGTAGACCAGACTGACCTCAAACTCACAGAGATCCGCCTGCCTCTGCCTCTCGAGTGCTGCGATCAAATGTGTGTGCCACCACCGTCTGGCCCCAAGTTACCTTTTTAAAACTATGGTAAACCACAGGAACCTTGGGCTGGTAGGATGGCTCAGCGTCAAGCCAAATAAGCTGAAACCAACCCCTAGAATCAAGAGTAAAGGAGAGACTCTGCCCTTCTGTCCATAAAATATATAAATAAATGTAAAAAATAGTTTTGAGTGACATGAAACTATTTTCACCGTTTAAGCAGTTCAGTGATATTGAACACACTTGCAATGTTGTGCAATCATTAGCACGATCTGGTTCCCAAAGATTTTCATTGCCCTCCACAAAAAGCCCACACCCGTTAAGCACTCACTGCCCCCTTATAGTCTCACCCTCGTCCCTTGGAACCACTAATCTGCTTCTGTGAATTATCAATGTCTGGAAAGTTCAGGAAACCCATCCTGTGTTTTCTTTCTGGCTTTTCTCTCTTACCATGCTTACAAGAGTCATCTGTCTTATAGCCTGAACTACAGTTTTCCTTTTTATGTGCATGAATATATTGTAGTGTACAGGTACCTCACATTTTGGGGATTCACACATCTGTTGATAGTAAATTGTTTTCACTTTGTACCTATTGTGACTAAGCTTGCAGGAACATCCCTGTACAAGATTTTGTTTGAATGCCTGTCTTTAATTCTTTGGTGCATATAACCTACATGCTGAGTCATGGAAATTCTAGGTTTGACTTACTAGGTGCCCCCTCAGATTCCATTCTGAAGCAGAGACCATGGCAGCAACTGGGGGCATGATTTTAGCTAATATATAAAAGACAGTTGGACAACAACTGACACACCACACAGTAGACATCCCATCATCATTCATTATTATTGGTAATGGATGGGTATGTAAGTGTGTAGATGGGTGGATGGATGTACAGACGGATGGGTGGAGGGAGGGAAGGAGGGAGAGAGAGGGATAGATGGATGGAAAGGTTGAATGGGTCTATTTTCACAATCGACTTGATTGGAAATCAGATCAAATCCAATTTATTTCCAGATGAATTGCTTCAGGCATGACTGACTCCATGTTACAATGGGTTATACTCAGTGAATTCAGGAAGGAAGCAAATTCTTTCATTTTTCTTTTTATGCCAATATTTCTGAAAGTAAAGTCTTTCCCATCCAGTACCTTCTGCCCTCCCACTCACACATGACCCAAGATCAGACATTAGATTCATATATGCAGTAGCTGAGATCAGCAGTTTTAAGTCATAAATATTAAAGCACTTAAATAAGGTCAGGGCTGGGAATGTAGCTCAGTAGTAAAGTGCTCACCCACATGAGCATGTTGTGGGGTGGATCCCAGCACTGTAAACAAATGAATAAGTCTAATTAGGAATTATGACCCTCCCAGGAAGCAGCCCCATTATAAACTTAATTACCGTATATGATCATTGTATGAGGGAATAAAATTCCACATTGCTGACAATGCGACTTTTCATTTATAAAAGGAACCAGAAAAATAAGGAAGACCTGTGTTCTGATTAGATTTTCTGTCATCTCGACACAAATTGGAGGGGAAGAGGAACTTCAACTGAGAAAATGCCTCCACCAGGTCAGCCTGTGGGCAAATCTGTGGGGCTTTTTTTGATTGATGATTGACGTGGGTAAGCTCCGCCCACTGGGGGGGCCACTGCCCCTCCTGGGCAGGTGGTCCTGAGCAGTATAAAAAGCCAGCTGAGCCGGGCGGTGGTGGCGCACGCCTTTAATCCCAGCACTCGGGAGGCAGAGGCAGGCGGATCTCTGTGAGTTCGAGGCCAGCTTTCTTCATGCTCTCTGCTTTGGTTCCTGCCTCCAGGTCACTGCCTTGAGTTCCTGTCCTGACTTCCCTTCACGATGGCCTGTGAACTGTAAGCTGAAATAAACCCATGCCTCCCCAATTTGCTTTTGGTCGTGGAGTTTTATCACAGAAATAGAAACCTAAGGTATGATCTCAGATTTTTCTCTTCCTTCAGATTTTAAAATGTCCAGAAGTTCTATGACTTCAAGCTCACCATGTTAGGTATGCAAATGCCTGTACACACGTCCTGTGGTGAAAAGATACCAGGACCACTTGGAGGAGCCAAGACTGCGCATGTCTGTGGTCTTCCCGGGCGTCGCAATGAGAATGAGACCTGATACAGAGTCCTAGCCACTTGGGGCTGTAACAACAGACCGGCCGTAAGAAGTCATTTGTTTTCACCTCTCTTCAGTGGCTATCCTGCTTGGACCTCCCTACCTGTCCGTCCCTCCCTGATTCATCCTATCCCCAACACGTGGGCCTGTGACACTCACAGGGGTCCCTTCCAAATCTCGGCCAGCCTCCCAGTCCTCCTATTCCTTTTGATCTCTCCCACGCCAGGATTTCTGAGTGAAGTGAAGTACCTTGGAAATATTAGCAAGCATATTGTGAAAAAGACTGATAACGGGAGCAGTACGTGAGGCGCAAGTTGACGCAGCCTTTGGAAGGTGTCAGGTGGCCTCTCCGAATCGAGATGGTTTAATAGGTAAAGGTACTTACTACACAAGCCTGGCAATCTGAGTTCGACCCCTAGAACACACATAAAGGAGAGAGGAAAGCGCTGACTCCCACAGTTGTCCTCTGACCTCCACATGCACACACACACAATACAGTAGCATAAAAATTTAAATATAAAAAGTATATACCGCCGGGCGGTGGTGGCGCACACCTTTAATCCCAGCACTCGGGAGGCAGAGCCAGGCGGATCTCTGTGAGTTCGAGGCCAGCCTGGGCTACCAAGTGAGTCCCAGGAAAGGCGCAAAGCTACAAAGAGAAACCCTGTCTCGAAAAACCAAAAAAAAAAAAAAAAAAAAAAGTATATACCAGGTCAGGTGTGTGTGGTGGCATACAGTTTTATTCCCAGCACTCAGGAAGCAGAGGCAGGTGGATCTCTAAGAGTATGAGGCCAGCCTGGTCTACATAGCTAGTTCCAGGACAGCCAAGGTGAGACCTGTCTTTAAATAAATTTAAAAAAAAAAAAGCCTTTCAAGAGGATACTTTTAGAATTCTACCCAGCAAAGGTATTTGAGTAAGTACACAAAGCTATCTATGTTCCAAGGATGTAAAATGTAGAACTATTTACAATAATTAAAAGGCATAAACAACCCAAATGTACTTCGAGGAGGACGTTGCTTTTATTTTTCTTTAAGAATGAGTATATGAGTGTCTGCCTGCATACATCTATGTGCACCGTATGTGTTCCTGGTGTTCATGGAAGCCATAAGAAGGCCTGGAACTGGGTTACAGATAGATGGTTGTGGGCCACTATGTGGGTGCTGGATCCTCTGCAAGAGCAGCCAATGCTCTTAAGCGCTGAGCAGTCTCTCCAGTCCTGGATATTGCATTTTATGACAGTTCTAATTCTTAGGTTTTCTGTTGTTTTTGTTTTGTTTTGATAAAGTCTCACTATGTAGCACTGGCTGTCCTGGAACTTGATCTGTAGACCAGGCTGGCCTTGAACTCACTGAGATCTACCTGCCTCTGCCTCCCTAGTGCTGGGATTAAAGGCATGCGCCACCACACCAGGCTTTTAGGTTTTGTTTGTTTGTTTGTTTGTTTTACAACAGGCATCATATCAACTTCCCCTATGTAGGGCCTCCCAAAGCAAGCCTAATCTAAAGCAGTTTATTCATTATACACAGCCTCACTTGGGTCCAGTCTGTGTATAGACTCCATGGGGTCCAGACAGCGTGTAGAAGCACAATTAATTAATTAACGTTGGTTTCGTGAGACAAAGTGTCATATAGCCCAGGATCTCTTGTTGCCATTTTCTTGCTATAGAGCCAAGGCTAGTTTTGAACTCCTGATCGTCTTGCCTCTGCCTTCCAGGTGCAGGGATTACAGGTTCCTGCCACCACAGCTGCCTGGAAAGCACCTGTTAGATAAGCAACATGACATTTCCAGAGGCCTAAGGGAAATGCAGCATGGCGGTCAAGGCAAAGCCGGTGGCAATGATCACAGCCCACTGTCGTCTGTCTGTATGGTGATATTTTATTTGTATTAAAATGTTATTTGTATGTTAAAAAATAAAGTTGCCCGGGGGTCAGAGCTATTAGCAAGCCATAGAAAAGCAGGGCAGTGGTGGCATACGCTTGTAATCCCAGCATTTGGTAGGCAGAGCTGGGTAAGTCTCTGTGTGTTCAGGGATACAGCCATTATTGGATACACATGCCTTTAATTTTAATACCAATCATGGAAAACCTGGAGGCCTATACAGACAGGCCGTGAGGAGGCGGTCATGTGGTTGAGTTTACAACCAATGAGAAGGCAGGACAGGAACTCTATATAAAGACTTTAACACAGGGGTAGCTCTGGTTCGGAGAGGTAGGACCACCGCAGGAGGAAGGGTAAGGTTTTAGCTCTTAGCTCTGACCTCTTGGCTTTCTTCTTTGTATTGGTTCTGTGTTTCTTATTTAATAAGAAGGTTGGTTACATCTACATTTGGCGCCCAACGTGGGGCAAGAGTTTCCACCTAAAAACTGAGAAAAACAATTCTAAAATGGAGCTAAAAACAGTTCCTAATTGTCTCTCTCAAATGAACAGCAGCTGCTGGTTGGAGCTACTGGTGGGTTCCTAGCGTGTGCGCTCGACCTGCAGTATGGCGGGAATGAGGCCTCTGCAAGTGGCACATTAAGCTGCATGGTGGATTTAGTCTTTACTAGTACAAAACATAAAAAGAGGTTTCTGGGCTACACGCTGCTTGGATAAAAGCATAGACCCATGATAGCTCCCAGAGCTGACAGTAAACTACCACCTCCATGTTGGGAAGCTGCGGAGCCAGCAGCCACAGCTGCTGCAGTTTAAAGCAATAGATTCATAACAAGACAGATTCAGATGTAATAGTTTAAAATGTGTGTAAAAGATACGTAGGCTTGAAAGAGACAAAAAGGTGATATATACAGTTATATAAACAAATACATAGTTTAAAAAAATAAAGTCTTTAAAGAAACAGTAAAATTAATATAAAAAATAAGCCACGTAAAGATGAATATTACACAGAGAATCTGGATTGTGTTGTTTTTGGGATTTTTAACTGCAGAAAAACATTTGTTGAGTTATGCCAAAATGTATATTTTAAAGGTACCTTGACTTCAAAATTTGGATATAAAGATGTGTTGCTTTGGAAAGGAGACTCTGCTTTTGTTCCCACAGAAAGCCAAAGGCTATGGATTTGTTCCAGATTAAGATACATTAGGTTTGACCAGCCAAGACCCCCTGAAAGGTCTCCGATGACACCATGGCCCAGACGATCCAACATCCAGAATGGTTTGAAGGCAACTGGCTCAGATGGTACACCCTCATGGACTATTCCATAATTCTAAAATTTTCTTTGTGTCCCCATAAGACACAGCACCCCCCTCCAGCAGGAAGTTGTAAGAGAGAAGCTACGCCCAAATTCCCAAATTATATGTAATTTTACTTTGTTAAGGTTAAAACCTTCCTTTTTGAAAAAAAAAAGAAAAGGGGAAGTGCTGTGGGATGGTCTGTATGTCAAGTGTGTTGCTGATTGGTCCATAAATAAATCACTGATTGGCCAGTGGCCAGGCAGGAAGTATAGGCGGGACAAGGAGGAGAATAAAGCTGGGAAGTGGAAGGCTGAGTCAGAGAGACACTGCCAGCCGCCACGATGACAAACAGCATGTGAAGATGCCGGTAAGCCACGAGCCAAGTGGCAAGGTATAGATTTATAGAAATGGATCAATTTAAGCTATAAGAACAGTTAGCAAGAAGCCTACCACGGCCATACAGTTTGTAACCAATATAAGTCTCTGTGTTTACTTGGTTGGGTCTGAGCGGCTGTGGGACTGGCAGGTGAGAGAGATTTGTCCTGACTGTGGGCCAAGCAGGAAAACTCTAGCTACAGTCTGAGATACAAATGCACCCACAGCTATCCCGTGCCTGCTCGGTCACTCCGTCACTGTGTCACATGAGTGCATATTTACTCCTCTGACCGCTGCATTAGTCATTAAGCAAAGATCACGAGGCTTCCTGGCATTTTCTTTAATGTGCTGCCAGTTTCTGCTGCCTATTCTTTGTTGAAACACACACACACACACACACACACACACACACACACACACACACACACACTCACAGACCAAAACTGGATGTGAAATGGTCTCACCCTGCCCAGGGGAACAACTGGGTGGTCAGTTAGGATGTCTCTAGCCTTCTGGTTTACAATGGAGATGTTCTCCTGAGAACCAAGAGCCGGAATCCTTCTCCCCCACCACACACACACACCCCAGGGGGGACGGGGTGGGTTAGCAGATACCCTGGTTTGGTTTTGTGATACAAAATTTCACTCTATAGTCCCAGCCTTGACTCTACAGTCCTGCCTCAGCTTTCTAAATACTGGGACCATAGGCATACCCCAGCAGGCCCAGCTAGCAAGAAGTCTTTAATAAAAATCCAAGCACAGTTGGTAGCAGACACCTTTAATCCCAGCTCTCTGGAGCTGACACAGGAGGATTGAAAGCTTCAGAGCAGCCTAGTCCACATAGCAGGACGCAGTCTCAGAAACAAACAAAGAACCAGCAAGATGGCTCCTTCCGTAAAAGCACAATCAGGGCAAGCCTGACAATGGGAGGTTGATTCCTGGAACCTCTCCCTTAAAATAGATGAATGAATGGATGAATGAATGAATGAATGAATGATTGAATGAATGAGAGGTAGAAGCAGAAGAGAAAAAAGAAACTTGAGTCAGATATGGTCTAGGCACTTAGGAGGCTGAGGCAGGAGGATTGCAACTTCAAGGCCTGGGATATGCATTAGCAAGACTGTCTCAAGGGCAAAACAACATTTAACAAAAGAATTCAAATATAGGAAGCACTTTCTTCCTTTGGGACCTCACGTGGTCCACGCCCTGGAAAAGGTAGGATTCTGCGATCAAAGCAGCTGCCTACATTAAAAATAAATAGATCAGGACTGGAGAAAGATGGCTCAGTGGCTAAGAGCATTAGCTGCTCTTCCAAAGGACCGAGGTTTGAATCCCAGCAGCATCCACGTGAAGGCTCACAGCATCTGGAGCTCCAGTTCCAGGGATCCTACAGCTTCTCGTGTGTTCTGTGGGCAGCACCACACACAAGTGGTGCACAGATATATATGCGGGCAAAACACCCATACACGTAGAATAAAATAGTAAGATTTTAAAAAAATCAGTAGGGCTCCTTGGATAAAAGGTATCTGCTGCCAAGCCTGAAGAACTGGGTTCAATCCTTGGGACCCACGGGGTGGCAATTGAGAACCAACTCTAAGTTGTCCTCTGACCTCCAAACATACGTATACACACACACACACACACACACACACACACACACACACACACACACACACACGTGGTGGTATTGTGTTCCCCAAAATATTGTGAACCCTAATAAATTTATCTGGGGTCAGAGAACAGACAGCCACTAGATACAAAGGCTAGAAAATGGTGGCACTCACACCTTTAATCCTAGCATTCCGAAGACAGAAATCCTTCTGGATCTCTGTGGGTTCAAGGCCACATTGGAAAAGGCCAGGCATGGTGACACACGCCTTTAATCCCAGAAAGCGAGCCTTTAATCCCAGGGAGTAGTGGTAGGAAGCAGAATGGTATATAAGGTGTGAGGACTAGAAACTAGAAGCATTTGGCTGGTTAAGCTTTCAGGCTTTGGAGCAACACAGTTCAGCTGAGATTCGTTCTGGATGAGGACTCAGAGGCTTCCAGTCTGAGGAAACAGGACCAGCTGAGGAATTGGCAAGGTGAGATAGCTGTGGCTTGTTCTGTCTCTCTGATCTACCAGCATTTCACCCCAATACTTAGCTCCGGGTTTGATTTTATTAATAAGAACTTTTTTTTAAAAGTTTTTATTTATTTATTATGTATACAATGCTCTGCCTGCATGTATGCCTGCAGGCCAGAAGAGGGCACCAGATCTCATTACAGATGGTTGTGAGCCACCATGTGGTTGCTGGGAATTGAACTCAGGTCCTCTGGAAGAGCAGTGAGTGCTCTTAACCACTGAGCCATCTCTCCAGCCCCAGATTTTATTAATAAGAACTTTTAAGATTCATACTACACACACACACACACACACACACACACACACACACACACACACACTAAATAAAAATTTTAAGTGCAATCTTTTAAAAATGCAGATCAGGCCGGGCGGTGGTGGCTCACGCCTTTAATCCCAGCACTCGGGAGGCAGAGCCAGGTGGATCTTTGTGAGTTCAAGACCAGCCTGGTCTACAGAGCAAGATCCAGGAAAGGCGCAAAACTACACAGAGAAACCCTGTCTTGAAAAACCAAAAAAAAAAAAAAAAATGCAGATCAGTAGGGCAGATTGTGGTGATGTAAGCCTTTAATGCCAGCCCTTAGGGAGGTAGAAGCAAGCAGGTTTCTGTGATTTTTTTTTATGCCAGGCTGGTCTACATAGGGAGTTCTATACCAGGGCTACATAGAAAGACCTTCTCAAAAAACAAAACAACAAAAATAAAACTCAGTAAAGAAAGAAGATGTCTGGAGCCAGAGCTCAGTGACAGAGCACTTGCCGGGCATACATGAAGCCCTGGGTTAAATTCCCAGGACAAAGGAAACCAAAGCGGGGTAGGAGAGCTTCCTAAGAGACCCTTGACATCAGCAAGGGAACTTCCCCCTCACCTTTCAGCTGCCTCAGGTCACTGTATATCATATAATATCTCCTAAAGTTACAGTTTAAATTATGGCCAGAAAATTTTAAGTGACTTCGTTTCAGTCCCTACATGAGTCTAAAAGCACAGAGATAAAGTTGTTTTTGAAATAAATTATCTGAGGAGTAATAATACCCAGGAGTAATAATGTTCATGGTCAGCAGTAATAATGCTCAACAGTACTAATACTTGGCAATAATACCCAGCAGCAATAGTGCTCAGCAGTACTAACACTCCCAACAGTACTACTATTCAGCAGTAATACTATTCAGCAGTGCTAATACTTAGTGGTACTACTATCCAGCATAATAATGCTCAATAATAATACTCAGCAGCACTAATACTCAGCAACACTAATACTCAGCAGTATGAATACTTACAGCACCTGAGGTCCCAAAGAAGAAAAGAAATGCTTGGTTAGTTAGATATGTCTCTATCTTTTAGTAAAATTTTGTTTCCTTTTTGTATTTGTTTGCTGGAGACAAAATGACCTTGAACTCCTGACCTCTATCTCCCTAGTGTTGGTAAGTGCTACTACACCCAGCTCATCTCAATTTTCATGTGGGTCTGTGTGTGCGTGTGTGTGTGTGTGTGTGTGTGTGTGTGTGTGTGTGTGTGTGTGTGGTGTATATGCATGTTCAAGTGGGTATGTGCATGTGTGTGCAAGTGTGTGTGAAAATAGAGGCCAGAGGTTAACATCAGGTGTCTCTTTTCAATTGCTCTCTACTTTATTTATATTTATTTGTGTGTGTGTGTGTGTGTGTATGTGTGTGTGTGTGTGTGTGTGTGTGTGTAAAATGTGTGTGTACCTGTTTGTGTGTGAGGATGCACACATGCTACACTGTGCATCTGTAGGTCAGGGGACAACCTTGAGTGTTGGCCCTCACCTTCCACCTTGGTTTTGAGGGAGTATCTCTCTTGGTTACCACTGTGCAGCATACTCCAGGGGACTCTCTTGTCCCCACCTCCATCCATGGGAGTGCTGGGACTACAGACACTCACCAGCCCATCTGACATTTCCAGGGACCTGAACTCAACTTGTGAGACTTTTATGGCAAGCCTCTTTACCTGCTAAACCATCTCCCTAGTTCTCCACCTCTCGCTGAACCTCAATTTAGCTAGACTGGCCAGCATGAGCATCAGAGATCACCTACCCCTTCTCAATGTTGGGATTACACACAGTCACCACTGCATCCAGCTTTTTATGTGCACAGCAAGCCCTTTGCGGACTGTGCCCTCCCCCAACCCCTCATCTCCCTCTTGATGAGTAATTCCTCTGCTGACCAACACTCACCAACTTCCAAAGCCCTGCCCATACCAAAGAGACACACAGAGTGGACCTACGGATATCAGACATCCAAACATCACTGAATTTGACATTCCACCCACTCCATCCAAAACTTTTATTTGTAGCTGAAAAACAACAACAAAACTCACTTTCTCAGGCCTCCTTAACTTTCTTCATTTCTATCACTAGCCTTGCCCAGGCTGGTCCTGAACTCCCTATGTGGGCAGAGATGGCCTTGAACATCTGCTCTTCCTGCCTCCACTTCCCAAGTGCTGCAATTAAAGACATGTGCCCGGTTTATGAAATGCTGGGAATCAAACTCTGGGACTCTGCATGTTACTTAAGCACTCTACCAACTGAGCTATGTCCCCAGGCATTAGGAGTTTTCTACTCCCCAAACAAGAAACAAAGGCTGTAATCGCTGAGATCACAGAAAATACATGATACATAAAGGTTTATCAGGCAAAGCCAGGCTTTCAACTCACATTCATTCCCACAGCTCAGGTTGCAGGCAACAGCCGAAATACCCAACCATATGTGTTCAATCTTTGAAAGTCAAGAACTTACAGTAAATTCTTTTGATAACACTAGTCCATTGTCTACTTTCTTGGGGAATTCCAAATCTCTTCTTAATGGGCAGCAGGGACCATCTCCTATCACAGAAGCCAAGCATGCCTGATGTTCCCATTTCCTAGGCTCTAGGCAGCTAGAGTTGAGGTGTGACCTCAATTTGAGCAGTCAGCTGTATTTGCTTAGATTTAAAAAAACAAAAACAAAACAAACAACAACAACAACAAAAAAAAAACAACAACAATGTCTTACCATCTAATTCTGACTGGCCTGAAACTTGCTATGTAGGCCAGGCTGGCTTTTAACTCACAGAGATCTGTCTGCCTCTGCCTCTCAAGTGTTGAGGCTAAAGTCATGCACCACCATGCCTGTGTTGGGGTGAGTCTTGAGGTATTATAATCTGGTCCCACTTCCTGTCCACTCTCTACTTTTGACTGAGGAATTGACCAGTTGCCTCACAATCTGTGTGTGGCCATGCCTTCCCAGCCGTGAGAGATGGTATCCTTTCTAAAACTGTAAGCCAAAATAAGCCCTTCCTCCCTTAAAAAATGTAAAAAGAAAGGAGAAGTGTAAAGAAAAAGAAGAGAGAATAGGTAAGGAAAGGAGAGAAAGACTGAATCCACACGGCCCAGTCTTTATGGCGTGTGTTGATTCCTCACACACAGACCATCACTGTTCTGCATCTCAGAGAGTCAGCCGAGATCTATGGAGCCACCATGCTGTGATGGCTGCGCAAGGGCCGAGGAGAGCAGTGTGAAGACAATTCTATTCCCAGCATCCATGTTTAGTTTCACTGGGCCTCAGTTTCATTAGCTACGAGCATTCTTTTTGTTTTTGAGCGTGTGTGTGTGTGTGTGTGTGTGTGTGTGTGTGTGTGTGTGTGTGTGGTGTATGCACATGTCTATATTCATGTGCATGTGTGTACATGTAGAGGCTAGAGGTCCAACATATGGTGTCTTCTTTTATGGGTACCATCATCATCATCATCATCATCATCATCATCATCACTGTTTAGAGTCTCTCACTGAGTCAGCAGGACTGGCTGGCCAGTGAGCTCCAGGGATCCCCCTATGTCTGTCTTCCCAGCACTGGCATTACAGCTATGTACCGCCAAACCCAGCTTTGTCCATGGATCCTGGAGAGCTGAACTCCAGTCTTCATGACTGTCCAGCATCACTTTCCTGACGCTTTTGAGACGGGGACCTCACGCTGTAGCTGAGGCTGACCTTGAACTCACAGTGACCTTCCTAACTCAGCCTCCTAGTGGTGGGGTTACAGGCAGGAGCTGCCTTGCCCGGCTTGTGAACATTCTTGTAAAGCAGGGCACTAATTCCCCATCTCCGGGATAAAGACCAGGGTGATTTACTGGCAGAGAGCCTGAAACCTCTGACTCTGAAACTCCTAGGTCTTTCCCTTCCTCCATATTTTCTTTTCCTCCTTTTTCTTGGTTCTTAATTTTTATTTGTTTATGTTACATGTATGGGTGTTTTTGCCTGCGTGTATGTCTGTGTGTTATGTGTATGCCTGGTGCCTGTGGCAGACAAGAAAGGGTGTCAGATCCCCTGGAACTGGGGTTACAGATGGCTGTAAGCCACCATGTGGGCGCTAGGAATCAGACCCAGGTCCTCCAGAAGAGCAGCCAGTGCTCTTAGAAGCTGAGCCATCTCTCCAGCCCCTTCCTCCATGTTCTCTAAGCACCACACATTACGGAAGTGCACATCTTCATTTGGACGATGTATACACACACACACACACACACACACACACACACACACACACACACACACACCACCTTACCTCCTCCCTCTGGCTGCCCAGACAGATCCAGACCAAACTCTGGGGCTTCTAAATGGTAGCTGATCTTCAGATCACCACCCTGGGTTAAAGCTGGAAACGCCCAGCACCACCCTTGCTACCACATGGACACCAAGTGGACACAAGTGCCCACACAAGAACAGGACTTGCCTCTCTCTCAGAACCGGAAAGACCAAGTCAGGCTCACCTTCTCTTCTTTACCTAGCTCAGGAAGGTTGCTGGGCTAATGCCCTTTGGACAACTCTTCTTTGATGGAAGACACTTTGGTCATCCGCTTATATCGTTTCCTAACTGCAGCCGCACAAGTAGGTTTCAAATAGCTGAATTGGTTTTTTCACGCAGCTGGTCCCACCCATTCATCAGTACCAGGCAAGTCCCTCCCGGGGCTGAGGCCAGCCTTGATGTGGCCAGGGAGCCATGCAGTCTGTGCTGGGTGCACCCACTTGCTGCCCGGCTGGGACTAGTGGGAGGTTTTTGGTGGCGTTGCTAGGCAACGTGGGTAATGGATGAGGCCAGGGATTGGGCTCCTGAGCCACAGAGATTAACAGCCTCCTTCATCACACTGCAAGCCATCATTATACCTTGGTCCAGAGCCCACAGTGATCTCTCTGTGGTCACGGCCTGAAAGGATGCTTTTTTAGCTACAGAAATTAAGAACTGGCTTTTCAGTATTATAGGTTTGTGGCTGTGGCTGTTTTCTTTTAGCTCCATGTATGAGCACACAACTCGAAATAAATAGGCAAAAGATTTAAAAACAAAAATTGCCTTCACAGACCTCCATCACTCAAAGTTTTCCTTCTGGGGGCAAAGCCTACTGGCCCTCACTGGCGAGGGCAACTAGGGTAGGGAGTTCTGCTTCCCCAGGCCTCTCCATGGCTCACTGTGCATTCAACGCTCCTTTCTTGGACTCCACTGGCCTGGCTGCGGTTCAGGGTTGAGGAACCAGAGCTTGGGTGGTGTGCACAATAGTATGTTAGTATTACCACAGCTTGGGTGGTGTGCACAATAGTATGTTCATATTACTTCCATTCGAAGACTAATGCAATTCCTCCCTCCTCAAGTCTTCAGAGTCCCTCCTACTCAGGTTATTTTGGAGACACTCCCTCCCACCCTATGCTGTTGTTCCCATTTACAGATAAAGCAAAGGAGACACCAAAGCTTGCCTTTCAGGTGGCCGTAAAGCCAATTCCCTGGGGCCCGCAGCTACATCACATTGCTCCCCCCAGAGCTACTTAACAAATCATGTAGGTGCATGCACCCCAGTAAATACTAATAATAGTGATAATAACACAACACTGCTGAGCTGCATGTGGGTGATACACACTGTGATCTCAGCACCTGTGAGGTCAGCCAGGCCTCCATACTGAGTTCCAGATCAAGCAGGCCTGTATAGTAAGTTCTAGAACAGCCAGGACTGCTTAGTGAGTTCCAGATCAGCCAGGCCTGCATAGTGAGTTCCAGGTCAGCCAGGCCTGCTTAGTGAGTTCCAGGTCAGCTAAGACTACATAGAGACCTTGTCTCAGAAAAAAGGGGAGGGAGGGAGAGGCCATGGAACTGTTTCAGCAGTCAAGAGGATTGGGTGTTCTTACAGAAGATCCAGGTTTGATTCCCAGCACCCACATGATGCTCACAACTGTCTATAACTCAAGTTTCAGTGGATCTGACACTTCCTCTGACCTCCACAGACTCCTGCACACATGTGGTATTTTATATACGTATATTCCGGCACACATTTATGCACATGAAATAAAATTCATAATTTTCTAGATTAATTTATTTTGTGTATGAGTGTTTTGCCTGCACATGAATGCCAGGTGCCCACAGAGGACAGATGAAGGTATCAGATCCCCTGGAACTAGAGTTATGGAGGGCTGTAAGCCATCATGTGGGTGCTGGGAAACAAACTTGGCTCCTCTGAGAAAGCAACAAGTGCCCTTAACCATTGAGCTCCTAAATAAATATTTCTTAAAGGTACCCACTGCTATAGAGGACAGAGGACTCCACTCTGAACCTTGTATTATCTTCAACACGTCATCATCCTTTTTGATCATAACTGAGCTTTCAAAGCTGCCCCATACACTGAGAGACAGTCTAGAATAATTCCCTGGAAGCAGATACAGTTCCCCAGAAGTGATTTGACCAAGCTAGCATTCCAGAGCATAGGACTAAAGAAACCCTGATACCATGTCAGTACTTTAAGAAAGTAAAAATCTTTCTTAAAAATCTGTAGTCAGGCAGTAGTGGTGCACACCTTTAATCTCAGCACTTGGGAGGCAGAGGCAGGCTGGCTCTCTGAGTTCAAGGCCAGCCTGATGTACAGAGCTAATTCCAGGATAGCCAGAACAACACAGACACAGAGAAACCCTGTCTCAAAAAGAAAGAGTGGAAGAAGGAAGGAAGGAAGGAAGGAAGGAAGGAAGGAAGGAAGGAAGGAAGGAAGGAAGGAAGGAAGGAAATCTATAAGTGTTCTTCCAAAATATTTTCACTACTGTGTATGTAGATGTGTTCAAGTATGTGCTGGTATGCCTGCACATGTGCTCTTGTTGGGAGACCAGAGGTCAGCCTCAGGTGTCTTTCCCCAGGAGCTGTCCATCTTGATTTGATTTTTTGAGTTTGGATCTCTCACTGGGACCTAGGAGACTTGACTACAGATTAGGCTGGCTAGCCAGCTAGCCCCAGAGGTTCTCCTGTCTGCCTCAAGGGCTGGGATTTCTCTCCAGCCCCTTCCTCCTTTTGTTTTGTTTTCGTTTGTTTGTTTGTTTTAAGGCAGGATCTATGTAGTCCAGGATCCTTTCTATGTAGCCAAGGATGACTTTGAACTCTGATCTTCCTGCCTCTACCTCCCAAATGCTGAGATGACAGGCATGTACCACCACACCTACTGAAATGACTTTTATTTATTTATTTGTTTGTTTGTTTGTTTGTTTATAGTTTGAGATTGGATCTCTCTACATAGCCCTGGCTGTCCTGGAACTATGTAGACCAGGCTAGCCACAAACTCCTCCCACCAGAGGAGATCCTCCTGCCTCTGCCTCTAGAGTGCTGGCGTTAAAGGCGTTCTCACCCAGCTGTGAGAAGCCTTTCAAATAGTGGCTCATCACAGTCACAATTGTCCCAGCTTGCACAGGACGTGTATCTGACAGTGCTAAAATTGGAACCACTGTGGACAAACCTAAAACGCTTGGTCGCCCTGCCCTGGAATACCTTCCTCAGACTAATTGGGAGGGGAAGTGTTGATAGGTAATCCTCCATGTAGGGCCATGGTTCCTGATCCTACCTTCACATCAGAATTATCTAAGGTCCTATTTGTCCGGGTTCACCTCTGCTCAATGGAAGTCTTTGGGGACAGGATCACACAGGATTTATTTCTTCTAGTCCCACTCTACAGCCCCAGCTGGCGTGGAACTCCTCTTTACATGTAGACAAGGCTCGCTCCAAGTGCTGGGATTAAAGTTGGCCACCCCATACCCAGCTTCTTTTTTAAAAGATTTATTTCTACTTTTTTTGTTTTGTTTTGTTTTGTTTTGTTTTGTTTTTCGAGACAGGGTTTCTCTGTGTAGCTTTGCGCCTTTCCTGGAACTCACTCTGTAGACCAGGCTGGCCTTGAACTCACAGAGATTCGCCTGGCTCTGCCTCCCAAATGCTGGGATTAAAGGCATGTGCCACCACCGCCCGGCTTTATTTCTATTTTTAACTGTGTAGTTAGGGGGAGATGTGCATATGAGTACAGTTACCCTAGGAGGCCAGATGCACTGAATCCCCTGGAGCTGGGATCGCAGGAGGTTGTGAGGTCCCCAGTACAGGTTCTGGGAACTGAACTCGGATGAACTTAATCACTCAGCTCCTGGGCATGAGAGTTTTAAATGGGCATCCAAGATAGAAAGAAAAAACAAAAAAAAAAAAGAACTGTAACAGGGCCCCAGACCTTAGCACAACTGACTCCATGATGGACATACCAGTGAGGCCATAAAACTCAGCACGTAGACAGCACCACCTGCCAAAATGAAAACAAAGACCTAGTCCATCAAAGTCCCTAGTCCTGGGAAAGTCTCTAAATGCACTAACGTTGCTTTTTGGCTTCTGCAGTTCTGCTTCTGGCTAAATGTTCTAGTTAGCTGAAGTATGTCAACCCAGGACATGGATTTTGTGCTTAAAAGCTCACCCTGAGAAAGGCTCGGGGCTACACTGGGATCCTGAACACCCAGAGTAGTCGCCAACTGGCTAATAAAGACTTTCTATTGGCTCAAACTTGTGTCCAGCTAGTCTTATCTGGTGGATACCCCACAACAAAACCAGGGCGTGGGAGGAGAGAGAGAGGCAGAGAGAAGAGGAGGAGGAGGCCGCCGCAGCTCCTGCCCTAGAGCTTCATTTTCAGGGCTGGGAAAGTGGCTCAAAAGGTGAAATGCTCCCTGAACTGGATCCCCCATGGGCGATGCACACCTGTAATCGCAGCGCTCAGGAGGTCAGGAGGCAGGGGCAAGCAGGTTCTGTGGGCCTGGTTGAGAGAGACAGACAGACAGACAGCAACAGAGACAGAGAAAGACTGAAACACAGAGAGGAAAAACAGACAGAGGAGGGGGAGAGGAGAAGGAAAAGAGGGAGGAAGGGAGAGGAGGGCCAAGTACAGAGAGGGGGAGCGGGGAGAGGGGAGCGGGGAGAGGGGAGCGGGGAGAGGGGAGCGGGGAGAGGGGGAGCGGGGAGAGGGGGAGCGGGGAGAGGGGGAGCGGGGAGAGGGGGAGAGAGATGGAAAACCAGCATATATTTGTAACCACTCTCCCTGTGTGGTTATGTATGCTCATGTGCCACGTGTGTGCTTTGGCAGACAGTCCCTAGATGCCTGGTATGTGTCAGGCTCCAGAAAGACATAGAAGAAGAAAGAAAAAGCAAAACAAACAACAACAAAAACGTCTGTTCCTTTCCTATTTAGAGGGAAATAAAAAGTCCTAAGAATTGCAGCAGCCAACAGTGTGCTGTGATTTAGATGAGAAGTGGGTCAGCACCAGCACAGCGGGGCGGCTGGTCAGGTTCCAGAGCCAACTGTGGCTGACGGAAGATGGGCACACTGGTTACCGCTCCTCCCACTGAGAGATGGCGCTGGTTTCCTCTCTTCTTAAGTCATGGGGCCAACCCTGGGGCTGGTTTTAACCAGTTCCACATGGCAGAAGCAGTACTGGGGACTGTCCAAGGCCAGGCTTTAAGAGATGTGTGTGTTGACTACTCTCAGGCCACCATGTTCTGTGGAAGCCCATACTCCCTGCATGGAAGCTGAGGTCATGTAGAAGAGCAACAAGCCACCAGACCAATAATGATACCTTCTTGGACTTCCCAGTCAAGAATACAGCCAACAGTATGACACCAGTTGACAGCAAAGGATACAGAAAAAGTGTCCAACCTCCCTAAATTCCTGACCCACTGAATCATGACAAAACAAAATGGCGGTTGTGTTAAAACACTTATTTGGAGTTACTTGAGACACAGCATTAGTTATCAAGAGCTGGATGAAAAGAGGACATCTCACTGTGTCATCCCACTGACACCGGTCACCTCTGCATCCTTCTATACAGTAGACTGCAGATAACTCAACGGAAGCAGCCTCCAAAATTAGCCTTCACCTCCATCCCTATCTCTGCCTGCCTTTTTTAAAATGAACCGTACAGTCGAGTATGTCAATTTGCTCAAAAACCATAGCGGGGCTGGGGTGTAGCTCTGCCGGTAGAGCACTTGGCCTCACAGACACAAGACCCTCAGTTCCATCCCTAGCACCCCAAAGAAGAAAAACAAACAAACCCATAGCTGTTTCCATTGTCTTCAGGATAAATACAGTAGGTGCATGACCTAGCTCCCGCCTCTTTCTAGAACCCAGCTTCCACCAATCTCTCCCAGCAATGGGTTGCAGCCATGGGGACCTCTTTCTGTCTCTGAAACTCATCAGACACTCTCCTGTCTCAGAGTCATTACAGTTTCTGTTCCTTCTAACCATCTCCCCAACCCCAACACAGCAATCCCCCCCCAAAGGGCTGGCACCTCCCTAGGAAGTCTCCCCTGCCTACGCCTTCCTCCACCCCAATTCTCTAGGACATTTTCCTGCTTCCTTGCTCCAAACACTCATCATACCTAAAAATATCTAGCATATTTACTGTCTGTCTGTACTAGCTGCAGGAAGGTCAGGACTGTGCATTTTCTATTCCATCTCTACCCCAGCATCTTCCCTCAGTGAAAGGCACTCAGTGAGCCCTGAATGGACCATCATGTAAATGAAGAAGGAAAGAGGAGGGAGGAAATGGAGGAGAAAGCCCTGGCTCCTGCTCCAGTGCATCCTCTTCTTGCCTGTGGAAAAGTCAGCTCCCCAAACCCAGGCCAGGAGCTCATCTCCACTAGCAAAGCCCATGTATGCTGTCCACCCACGGTTTTGTCCTGAATCCCATAGGAACTTTGAAACACTATGCCCTTTCTTGTTCTCTTTCTGGAAGGGTTCTAGAGATCAAACCTAGGACCTCGTGGTACAAAAGAAGCACTTTACCACTGAGCTATATCCCCAGCTCTCTTTTAACTTTTTGAGACAGAGTCTCACTAAGTTGCCCAGGCTGGCCTTGACCTGCTTCAGTCTCCTGAGTGGCTGAGATCCTAACCCTGTACCACCAGACTTCATTTTGTTTTGTGGTTTTGAGAAAGAGTGTCATGTAGCCCAAGGTCTTCTATGGCTTCATAGCCAAGGCTGGCCTTGAACTCTTGATCTTCCTGTCTCCACCTCCCAAATTGGCTCTTCTTGCTTCTAATTTTACAATATATAAAGACCAAAGGATCTTAGAATTAACAGACTTACATGCTAAGAACACAAATTCCAGAGGAATCCGAAGGACCTGAATACAAACCTTGATTTCATCATTTAATAGCTCTGCAACCTGAGCAATGTACTAAACCTTTTTGTTTTTTAAAGTTGTGGGGATGGAACCCAGGACTTTTAGAATGAGAGGCAAGCGCTGTATCACTGAGCTATACCCCCAGCCTATATTAAACCTCTTGGTGGCCCAGGTACTTCATCTGTAAAAGGATGGTGTGAAGGTTAATACTGTCAACTTGAATCACCAAAGACAAGCCTCTGGGGCTTGCCTGTGAGAGACTCTCTTGTTTAGTTCATTGAGATAAGGAAGTCCCACCCTAACTTTGTGGCACCATTCCTTTGGCTGGCTGGGGTCCCAGATTGGATTTAAAAAAAAAAAGCAGCTCATATAGGCCAGGCTGACCTCAAACTCCTCATGATGATCTTGAACTTCCAATCCTTCTGTCTGCCCAGTGTATGCAGTGCTGGGAATTGAACTCAGGACTCCATGTATACACATAATGCCTACTAAGCAAGCACCCGGCCAACCAAGTTACATCTCCAAAGCTTCAGCTCTCTTTTCATTGTTTCTCTTTGTCTTTCCAAAGATGATCACACCTCTACCTATCCCCAGTCTTTCTGCAGCATAATATCTAGAAGGACAGCTGGAAAGCTGGGTGTGTTAGTGCATGTCTGTGATCCCAGTGCTCTGGAACCTGAGGCAGGAAGACTTAGAATTCAAGGCCAGCCTTGGCTGCATAGTAAGGCCTTGTCTCATAAAAATAGAACAAGCCAGTTGCAGTATCACACACTGGTAGGATATGCTAAAGAGGCAGAGGCAGGAGGATCATGAATTTGAGGCCAGCCTGGACTACACATTGAGGCTGGAGAGATGGGTCAGCCATTAAGAGTCCATGCTGTTCTTCCACACGGTGGCTCAGAACCATCTGTAACTGCAGTTCCGGGGGATCCAACAACTCCTCCTGACCTCCATGGGCAACATGCATATACATGGTGCACATACATACATGCAGGCAAAACACTCCTATAAATAAATCTTAAGAGAGAAAGAAAGAAGCCAGAAAAGCTTATAAAGATAACCAGAGGTTGCTTTGTTCCTGAGAAAGAGCAAACAAAAGAGATTTGGTGAGTAGAGGGAAGGGAGCTATGCCTTACTACAGGTTCATAGTACTGATTCTACTTCAGTCTACTCATTGATACTAATTATGAGCCAGACACTAGTCTAAGGATTTTCACAGAAAAAGAAGCTTACTGAACACTCAGACCATACCAGTCCAGTCGATTCTCACTGCCTTTATTAGTTACTCACTGTAATAAAATACCTGACATGAGCCACTTCAGGGAGGAAATGTTTCCCTTGTCACAGTCTGAGAGTTCAGTTACTCGTGGCTGGAAACCACAGCAACAGGAGCTTGAAGTAGCTGATTACATGATCACACTGAATTCACAGTCAGGAACAGCAAGTGACAGTGACATCGTGGCTACTCACTGAGAGGCTCTTTGGCTAGCCAGGGAGCCCCAGGATCCTCCTGTCTCCACCCCCTAGAGCTGTGAGTTGGGATTACAATTATGCGTTACCACACGCAGCTTTTACAAGAGTTCCAGAGATCAATCTTAGGTCCTCATACTTAACACAACCTGCACTTTACCAACTGACCGTCTTGTCAGCCTCTCGGCCTCATGTACCCAAGGCTGGCCTCAAACAGTTTGTAGCTGAGGCTATGGCCTCGGATTTGATCCTCTTGTATCCACCTCCTGGGTGTTGGGATTATTGGCACTCATCACTACTCCTTATTTACACAGCACTGGGGATGGAACCCAGGGCCTTGTGTTGTGCTAAGCAAGCACTCTACCAACTGAACTACATCTCCAGCCAATCTCAGTTCCTGCTTTCCCCCCACCACACCGGTACTGAGGTCATACTGAGCCTGAGCAGGTTAGGTTCCCACTCTGTGGTAGGTCTCCTCTGTTGGAACATTTTCCCTCCCAATTTGTTGTCCCAATGTGAGTCCCTTTCCATCTCCTCTTCAAAGCTCTGCCATATACTAGCATTGTGGAGGTGCTGGGGCTCGAACACAGCAGACATGGCAGAAGTGAGTGCCCATGTAAGGCCCCTTACCAACCTCTGCTTGCGTCTGGGATGTTTTCTTAGTGCTGTAACTGCTTCCTTAACAGACTGTGGGCATCAAGATTTCTGTTTGAGCCATTTTGAATCCCTATTACACAGTCCAAGGAATGCATCATTAAATATTGCTCAGCTTCGTTGGTCACAAATGACTCACTGAGCATTCTTACAGCAAGAACACAGAAGGCACACTGCTTGTGTAACTGTGATACAAACACCATCCCTGCTCCTTGCTTTGCCCAGGTCGTTTTGGTTTTATTCACTTGAGACAGGGTCTTGCTGTGCAGCCCTAGCTGGCCTAGTACTTGCTATGTAGCCCAAGGTGGCCTCAAACTCACCCAAATATGCATACTGCCACCACCCAATGTAGGGACTGCAGGCGTGAATCATCATGCCAGGATAATCACTGCCCTTTTGGAACTTTTGGGTCTCCTGGGACAGATAAAGCACTGAATGGATGAATGAATGAATGGATGAATGAATGAATGAATGGATGAATGAATGGATGAATGAGCGAACCAACCAACCAACCAACCAGCTCCAGAAGTGTCTCCTCCCACCTGGATAAAAGAGCCCAGAAGAGAAGGGAAAAGGCTGGTGTTTTGTAGTTAGGGTTGATGACACCTCCCTTTCTGCCCTCTGTACAGAGACCTCAAAAGACAACAAGGAATTGAGTGGATAGCATGGAGTCTGATCTCCAAATTTGAACTCTAGATCCATTATTTACTAGCCATGTGACCTTAGGTAAGTCCTATGGGTTGAGAGTAGTATAGCATGGTTATGATTTCATGAAATAATGTCTTTTTGTTTGGTTGGTTTGGTATTTGAGGCAAGCTCTGTGCAACCCAGACTGACCTTGAACTCGGCCTCCTGAGTGCTGAGATGACAGGCGTGCACAAGCCCAAGGTGATGCATTTTAGGTGGCTGAGTGCTCAGACCCAACTGGGGCTGAGGGATTATAGACAGTTACCACCTTTGGGGAAGGGCATGTCACTTTCTTCAGTGATGTGCCACAGATAATCTGTCTCTTTGACACTGAACGACCCCCACTCCAACTCCACAAATAACTCTAATTAAACTTAGTGGCCACACACTTGAAGTAGAAGAGAGATTCATTGAGGGTACCAGTGGGATAGAGAGGGATGAGGGAGGGAGATGGGGATGAGGGAGGGGGATGGGGATGAGGAAGGGGAACGGGATGAGGGAGGGGCATGGGGATGAGGGAGGGGAATGAGATGAGGAAGGGGCATGGGGATGAGGAAGGGGAACGGGATGAGGGAGGGGCATGGGGATGAGGGAGGGGAATGAGATGAGGGAGGGGAATGGGGATGAGGGAGGGGAATGAGATGAGGAAGGGGAATGGGGATGAGGGAGGGGAATGGGGGTGTGAAAATGACTACTATTTTATGAATGTACAAAATTGTCAAACAATTTTTAATGGGGAGGGAGGGCTGGGAGTAGTGGCACACTGGGAAGGCAGAGGCAGGAGGATCTCTGGGAGTTCAAGGCCAGCCTAATCTACATAGTGAGTTGCAGCCCAGCCAAGACTACACAGTGAGATCCTATCTCAAAAAAATAAGGTAATAAAAGAGAATTTTTTTTTTTTTTTTTTTTGGTTTTTCGAGACAGGGTTTCTCTGTGTAGCTTTGCGCCTTTCCTGGAACTCACTCTGTAGCCCAGGCTGGCCTTGAACTCACAGAGATCCGCCTGGCTCTGCCTCCCGAGTGCTGGGATTAAAGGTGTGCGCCACCACCGCCCGGCTGAGAAATTTTTTTTTTTTTTAATATGAGAGGGGAATAATGTTTTTGGCAGTTCCCAAGTCAGAACCACAACATAAGGGTCTGGTCCTAGGCCTGGCCCAGTGTTTATACCTTCAGCCGGAAGCTGGTCTCCCTTCTCCTTCACACCTTCTGGCCTCCAGCTCTCTAGAGCACCTGCCTCCACTGTTCAGCTCAGTTTACAAGCCACCTAGGTTCTGTCAAGGCCAGGGTTTGTCTTCTATATCTTTACAAGCCCGCAGCAAGGGAGGGAGTGCAGTTAGGGAGGGGTGGCTGAAAGAAGACAAAGAAGGAGAAAGCCTGATGCGTCAGCCACCCAGCCCGGCCTTGATTCCGACAGTTCCTTATCTTTCAAAACAAACAAAACAAAAACTGTGATCGCACAGATGCGGACACGGAGGCCCAGGAAGTAAATAGGAGATGTGGGTTATGAATCCAGGTCTCTCTATGACTCCTACATAACTTCCCACCATGCCCCACTGCCTGCCTGTCAGCTGGTAGATGTGTGTGGAGAAATTTCAATGTTCTTGTTCACAGGGGGAGAAATGGCATGCTCCTCTCTCCAGACAACTGAAGTACACGCTCAACTAACGAGTAAACACATGAACAACGGTAAAACGAAGGCTGGCTTGACTGAGTGAAATCCCTCAGGTGCCTGTCCCAGGAAGGAGGAAACAGTCCAGGGGAGCTGCCTTGCTGGAATGGTGAGACTGTCTTCCCCTCAGTCCTGGGGGCAGGGGCAGAGGTTAGGGAAGCACAGGCTAGGATCCGGCTCAGGTGGAGGCAAAGACAGGACCTGTGGGTCTGGTCGCAGGTATAGCTAAGTAGTGGAACACTTATCTGGCACGATAGTACACACATCACACACACACACACACACACACACACACACACACACACACACACACACACACACACACACACACACACGCCAGCACTCCTCCCGCCAAAAATAAAAATAAATCCTGGCAGTCGGAGAAAGTAATGAAGTGAGCGGCAGTCGCTGAACAGTCAGTAAGGGAGCAGGGTTAAACTCCCTGGTCACCTCCCCAAACATTTACAAAGCGCTGCCAACTTTGAAACGAAAAGTTTCAGAACCCGAAGCGGCCACTCTAGGTTCTTCCGGAAGGTAGATTCTGGAAGCAGCACCCTTTCCTTCCCCTCATCGGTCGGTCGGTCGGTCTGTCACCAGCTTTAGTTCGTGCGCTGCCTGGAATTCCGGCCACCCGCCTCCAGTTTCAGCACTCAGCCTCCCACCGCCCAGCCCCAAGCCCTGCACCTTACCTGGGGAGGCCGAGGCACAGCCGTCCCACACTGCGGTCCGACCTTGCTCTTCAAACAGCCAACGAAGCGGCCTGCTGGCTCGAGCTGCAGCCTGCCAGGCTCTCCTCCGGCCCTCCCTGAACTAAAATCGTCCAGACAGGTTCTTAAGCGGGAGGGAGCCAAAGGAAATCCCCTCTCCGCCTAGTGGCCTGGCCTAGGCTGGGCCAGCCTGCTAGGCAGTCTCTCCTGGGCTGGCCCTGGATGAATGAGTCCTGGCCCTCCTCCTACTTGGGTTTGTGCCAGGGAGCCTGTGACAGCCGCCCTGCTCTCCCTCTTGGGCGCTGCTATCCATGCCTCCTCCTGGTCCTGCCTTCCTGTCCGTGACTCAGAGGGCCTTCTGCCCTCAGCTCTCTGGGAAAGGCCTGCACTGCGAGCTCTCAGTTACTTTGCATGGGATTGTCCTGGATCACACTCTAGTGTGAGCAAGGCCTGGTACTCCACAAAATGACTCGATGGCCCTGGACAGAAGTTTAGTCACAAGGCTCCTAGGTTCTGCCCACAGACTGGATGTGCCTTTGCCCTGGTGCAGTGGGCTTGCCAGTCTCTGATCATCCATTTAAAGTACGTTGAGGACGACTGGCCTTGTGCCAGGTCCTGGTAGCGAGGAAGTAGGTTAAGCTGGTGTCTGCCCTGCTACTGTACTAGCAAGACAAAGAACGGAGTACTCCGGCTGAAGGTTTGCCCAAGATTCAGGCAGCATGATCCAGGAGGACTTCCCTGTGGGGAGGAGTTCTAGAAAAAGCTCCCAGAGATGACATATCAGACAAGCCACTGAAGTTCAGAATTATGAGCAAGAAGTGTCAGGCCAGGAAGGGCCTTGCAAGGCATGCTGGGAACTACTCTGTGTAGTACTGGTGTAAACTGTGCTTTACACCACAGGCATGGAGAGACTCAAAGAGGATGTCAAACATGAAGTCAGATTCAGATTGGATTTATTTTCTGTGCTGAACATGGAACCTAGGGCCTCACACATGCCAGGCAACTGCTCTACCATTGAATTATACTCTCACCTTAAGGTGGCATTTTAGTTTTGTTGTTTTGGTTTGGTTTTTGGTTTTTCAAGACAGGGTTTCTCTGTGTAGTCCTGGCTATTCTGAACTCCTTTGTAGACCAGGCTGGCCTCGAACTCATAAGAGATCCGCCTGCATCTGTCTCCTCCTGAGTGCTGGGATCAAAAGCGTGTGCCACCACCATCTGGCTAGGTTTTTTTTTGTTTTTTGTTTTTTGTTTTTTTTTTTGTTTTGTTTTGTTTTGTTTTTGAGCTGAGGATCAAACCCAGGGCCTTGTGCTTGCTAGGCAAGCGCTCTATCACTGAGCTAAATTCCCAACCCCTGGCTAGTTTGTTTTTTTTTTAACAAAATAACTAATTAATTTTATGTGTATATGTGTGTGCCTGCTTACTTGTATGTGGACCGTGTGTGTGTGTGTGTGTGTGTGTGTGTGTGTGTGTGTGTGTGTGTGTGTCTGTGTCTGTGTCTGTGTCTGTGTCTGTGTCTGTGTGTGTGATATCTGCAGATGCAGGAGAATATTGGATTCCCTGGATAATGGATTCCTAATCCAGGGCACTGATCAGTAGTGTAGAAAGGAAGGGATAGAATCAGGTGTTAAGAGGAAGGCAGAGTATGGTGGCACATGCCTATCATCCTAACACTTGGGCTGTGGAGGCAAGAGGGTCATAATTTTGAGGTAAGCCTTGACTACATGATAAGACTTTGTCTTAAAAAGAGAGAGAGTGGCCGGGCTGTGGTGGCACACGCCTTTAATCCCAGCACTCGGGAGGCAGAGCCAGGCAGATCTCTGTGAGTTCGAGGCCAGCCTGGGCTACCAAGTGAGTTCCAGGAGAGGCACAAAGCTACACAGAGAAACCCTGTCTCGGAAAACCAAAAAAGAGAGAGAGAGAGAGAGAGAGAGAGAGAGAGAGAGAGAGAGAGAGAGAGAGAGATGAATATATTTATCTCAGAGGTCAAACAATTGCCCAGCATGTGTGAGGCTCTGTGTTTAATACATAGCAATGTAACATGAAAGAAAAGAAGCAAAAAAAAAAAAATGTTAAGATTGTAGCACTGGGGACTGGAAAGATGGCTCAGCTGTTAAGAGCACTGGCTGCTCTTCCAGAGGATCTAAGTTCATTTCCCAGCACCTACACGGCAGCTCCAGTCATCTGTAACTCCAGTCCCAGGGAACCCAACATGCTGTTCTGGCCTTCACAGACACCAGGCATGCAGGCAGGCAGAACACCCCTACACACAGAATAAATAAGAACATTGTAGCAGTGAGGAACCTAATGTCTAAGGGAGGAGTCTGGCTAGCTAGGATGAATCCCAGGTGTGATGGCTATTTTGACTGCCAACTTGACTACATCTGGAATTAATTAAAACCTCAAAATGGCTGGACACACTTGTAAGGGATTTTTGCTTAATTAGATCATCTCAAGTGGGAAGATCCACTTCTAATCTGGATCTTTGAGGTGGTAAAAAGACATCATTAATCCAGGTCTTTTGAAGTAGGAAGACCCACTTCTAATGTGCCCCACACCTTCTGCTGGAAGCCTACACAAAGGCCATGGAAGAAAGAAGCCTCTCTCTTTGCCTGCTTGCCCTTACCCTGACTAGCAAGTCCATTCCTTCGATGGCATTAGAGCCTGCTTCTTCGAGATTCCAGAGTCTTCCAGGGTCTGAAGACCAGCTGAGATATCCAGCCTGGTGGACTGAACAACTATTGGATTCTTGGACCTTCTGTTCATAGGCAGCCATTATCTGTTACTCTAGAGAACCCTGACTAATACACCAGGGTTCAAACCTGAATAACCAGGTTGTATGGTACTCACAGGAGAAGCACCACTGAAGGGAATTAATTCAGTTCTGGACTTGTGTATTCAAGAATACCTGTGCAAAGGTCCAGGAAGCAGTCACTCTGTGGAAAGATAACCCATGCATCACTGAGGGGCCCAACAGGAAGGAGAGGGAGGGTACATTCAGCCAGAATGAAGAGAAAACTAATGAATAAGACTGTTACAAATGATCCATGGTGAAGAGTGCTTACTGCTCTTGCAGAGGAAACAGATTCTGTTCTTAGCACAGCAAACAGGACCCGGCCATCTAGAACCCCAGTTCCAAGGGGTTTGATGCCCTCTGACCATTGAGGGCACCTGCATGCACATGGTGCACATAAACTCATGCAGCCACACATACATTACATAATAAGTAAGTAAATCATGGTAAAAGTCTTTACAGAGATCTGGGAAGGGGAAAGGAAGCAGCTAAGAGCTGTTGAAGATCCGGGAACCATCCTCTGGCTCTCCAGGGACAGAGAGCAGCAGTGTTTAGTGAACTCAGTTTAAGGCAGAGTTGGAGACGAGGTTGTAAGGGTTGCTGCAGAGGAAACAGTCACTGATGGAGCAGGCAGAACCAGGGAAATGATGCCCTGACCTCTTCCTCCTCCCACCTTTCTGGTCCCCATTCCTCTCATTGGCTGCTGCTCCCCAAGGCACAGATCACACTAAGAATGGATGGGGGTCTCAAGAGGCAGCAAACCGCTGAGAAAAATAGAGATTTGAGAGTTGCAGAGAGTGTGGTGTCACACACCATTGATCCTAGCTCTCAGGAGACAGAGGCAGGCTGGTCTCCATGACTAGGAGGCCAGCCTGGTCTACACAGTGAGTTCTAACCACTGAAAGCTGTGTAATGAAGCTTATCTAAAGGGGGAGAATTTGCATAGAAATGGCGAGGGAACCCACGGAAGAGATGAGCTCACACAGGGAGAGAAACCAGAGAAAAAAAGAGGATCTAGGACAGAACTTCAAGGTATTCCAACAAGGAACGTGCCAAGAATGTGGCAAGGGAAAGCTAGAAGAGAAGCCAGAGACCAGAGCTGAGCATCCTGACCACAGCAGGGACTCAGTAGACAGGCAAGACGCAGATGGAGGGAAAGTGGATGAGAAATGGACCACCGAGTAGAATGGGCTGCTCTGGGCACTAGAGATGGATGGCTGAGGCTTTTTACAAAGATCTTATACCTACATATGAGAGACTTAAGTCAACTCCTTTGTTTTTCTTTTTTCTTTTTTCTCGAAGTAAGTGGCACAAGTTACTTGCCAGGCGTTAGAGGATGGGAGCTGATGGGAAGGCAGAAAAAAGCGTCACTGCCAAAACAGAGGTGACCGTAAGAAAAGTGACCAAGGCATTGAGGAAACGAGGCTCACAGAGGAACACCAGAATCCAGCCAAAGGGGCACACGGCAACAAGCAGTGGGAGCCAGGGCCCCTTGGAATGAGCCACTAAGGACTCAGGGAGCATCCCGAGTAATAATTTAGTACAATCATACAACACAGTAACACTCAGACGGAGCCGCTGACTCTTCAGCTGCTGGGACTGGAGACCGAGCTCTTACACACAGTGAAAACTCGAAATAGGAAGAAGAGGAGAATGGACGGAGACAAGGAAGAGAGGGAGGGAAGAAGAGGGAGGGAGGGAAGGAAGAAAGAACGTTGTGAGGCAGGATCCAAGAACAGCAAATTAAGGGAACACGAGGAGGAAAAGGAATTTCTCACTCCAGAGCCTTGTTCAAGTCTCTCAGTTTCTGAGAGTCGAGAATTCCAGCACAATTAACATTTGCTGTGAAGATTTCCTATAGCGATAATAATCCTTTTTTTTTTTTTTTTTTGAGCTGAGGATCGAACCCAGGGCCTTGCGCTTGCTAGGCAAGCGCTCTACCACTGAGCTAAATCCCCAGCCCTCAAGAATAATCCTTTTATATAGACATTTCAGCTAAGAATGAACCATGCTTAAGATTCAAACATGTGTGCTGTTTCTCCTCTACTGTATGGCCTTTGCATCTGGTGTAACCTTTCTCCCAGTACCATCTGTCCCCTTTTCCCAGATGTCAGCCTGCAATTTTCGAGGAACTTCACAAACAAGTCTATACAATTAAATATGTGTCTTAACTGCCTGCGCAGACCTTGTGAGCCATGGCTTGACCTTATCAGTTTGTGATCTTATCCAAGGCACTGCAGTAACCATCCCATGATCTCATTCACCAAAAAGAAGCGGGGGAAGAAAAATCCCTCAGACTCTCTCTGAAGGAAGTCATTTCAGCAGCATGCACCCTGTCAGCAGCTGGGGAAGGACCCAAGAGCACCGGGAGGCAACAGGTCTCAAAACTGTACCGCACAGAGTGGTTGTTTCAGAGATGTAGTCTGCAGAGGTCCTGCAACCAGCCTTTGCTAGGATTTCACAAGGAACAGGCTACTTCCTGGTAGAGAATTGGCCATGTGACTTCAGAGAAGCATCTACCTACAGCCAATGCATACACAAGATAGGGAGCCCTTAGGAAGCAAAAGCTGAGTCCTATTTCTTGTCTCCATACCAGTCAGAACCAGAACTGGGCTTGACGTTGAATTGGGAATTGGGATTTTCTTTTCTTTTCTTTCTTTCTTTCTTTTTTTTTCTTTTTCTTTTTCTTTTTTTTTTTTTTTGGTTTTTCGAGACAGGGTTTCTCTGTGTAGCTTTGCACCTTTCCTGGATCTTGCTCTGTAGACCAGGCTGGCCTGGAACTCACAAAGATCCACCTGCCTCTGCCTCCCGAGTGCTGGGATTAAAGGCATGTGCCACCACCGCCCGGCGAATTGGGATTTTCAAAGGTGTTTACAAAACAGATTTGGGGAAGGCTAATGCATTCACAGTAAACATTTTAAGTTGATACATTTTCATTTAGGATTTGGGCATTGGTTTCTTTATTTTATTTTATGTGTGTGATGTATATGAGCATACAAGTTCATAGGTGTGAACATTGGGTGTGCAGGTACACGTGCATGCGCGTACATATGCATGCAGAGGCCAGAGGTGGATGTCCAGTGTCTTCCTCGATCACTCTTTGTTCTATTCTTTTCTATAGTGTCTGTCATTGAACCTGGAGCTCTTGATTCTGCTTCTGCTAGACTGACTGAACACTGAGCCCCAGGAGTCAGCCCATCTCCATCTCCTCAGTGCCGGGGTACAAGAACGAACCCCCACACTCAGCTTTTTATGTGTGTGCTGGAGACTCAAACTCAGGTCCTCCTGTTGTAAGGAAAGAACTTTGCAGACCGAGCCATTTCCCCAATCCCCTTATATACCAGTTTCTTTGGTAAAATCACACACACACACACACACACACACACACACACACACACACACACACACCTGGGTGGTGATGGCGCATGCCTTTGATTCCAGTACTCAGGAGGCAGAGGCAGGTGGAACTCTGAGTTTGAGGCCAGCCTGGTCTACAGAGCAAGTTCCTGGACAGCCAGGACTACACAGTGAAACACTGTCTCAAAACACACACACACACACACACACACACACACACACACACACACACACACACACACCACACACACACACATACTCTCACACAAATGTAGAGGTCAGAGGACAACCAGCAAGTGAATTCCCTCCTTCTACCTTGTACACTCCAAAGATCAAAACTCAAGTCTTAGCAGCAAGCGCCTTAACACATCTTGCTGGCTCTGTGTATCAGTTCCTTAGAAATCTCACCAGTGGGGATCAGGTGACCAAGCTTGTGAAGTCCAGAGGCTAATAGTGAGTTATGGTGAATCCACCAAGATCTTATCTCTTTGGAACCAATGAACCAGTCTTCACTACACCAGCCATACCTAATCCTTGATGGTCCGGCCAACGCTGAGTGAGACCCAAGGGGCCTTTTCTTATTTGAAATTTCCCTTTGAGTTTTCTACAAATGCTTGGGTAGCTTTCACTGTTTCCAACAGCAATGAGCAAAGCCCAGAGAAGGAGGTAGGTGCCACTGGCTGAGCCCGTCTGGTTCCTAGAAGCCTACCCTCTCTCCAAGAACTGCTGCCTCTTCCCACCCCACCAACATCCTCCATGACCAAGGTCCTCCATGACCAGCACCGCTCACAGACACTGGACCAGGAAAAAGGAACATTTGGCCAAGGGGAGACCAGTGCCTTCCCTTTTCTGAGAACATGACTGTGCAGTAGAAAGAGGCACTCTGTTGCGGCAGGCGACCTCGAAAGCAGCAAATCTGGAATTGCAGGAACCCTGGAGCAGGTGCCATAGAGGCGCCCGCATGATGCCTTCAAGAGATTTGGAGCATCCATAGCATTCTTTCTCCGTGTCAAAGGTTATGTATTTCTCAAGAGCAAAGCTTTCTCTGCATTCACCGGAGTCCCAGGTCAAATCAAACAACACCATCTGTTGAGGTGTTCCTACTGGGAGCTGGAATGGTTTTGAACCCAAGGGTCAAGTCTCCCCTTGGCACCATTTGGTGTTTGAATTTATTCAAAGTGGACACATAGGGAAGAGAGACAGAGAGAGCCAGCAAAGCTCTCAAGTCTTCAGACTCCTAAAGTGAGATCCAGGTTTAAATCTCATAGAGCCGAGTTTAAATCTGATAGAGTCCATATGATACAGCTGGATATGCACATCTAAGCAGTCCTGGTCAAGGTGTGGTCCTGCCCACCACTGACCCAGGAGTGTCTGGGCTTCAGGCTCATCCTGTAAGGTGATCTGACAAGTTGTCGAGCTGTTTGAAATCTCTGGGAGACAAGCTCTCCCTTGCCTGCGGTCCTTTCCTTCTCCCAGCATGAGATTCTGGGGGACATTCCCATTCTCTTGGGGTCCGTTGTTTTAATAGTTGATAGGTTGAGAGACCCAGGTGTCTCTCTAGAGTTTCTTCATTTTTGTCAAGCCTGTTGTAGCATTATATACATATATAATTCAAAGACATTCTGTTTATGAAGTATGATACACTAACAATTCATGGAAACCCAGTATACAGAAGAACAAGAGGGGGGAGGAAGGGAGAGAAGGGGAAAGATGTAGTTCAGTTGCTAGAGTGCTTGCTGCTTCTGAGTTGGGAGTAACGTTGTCTACCTAGTGCATACAGCAAGCCCCAGATTCAATCTCCAGCACCACTGGCCCACATCAGTCCTAGCATTTGGGAGATGGAGAAAGAAGAATCAGAAGATAAAGGTTATCCACAACTGCGTGGAGAGTTGGACAACAGCCTGAGCTATACAAGACTCTGTCTCAGTAGGAAGGAAAGAAGGAAGGAAGGAAGGAAGGAAGGAAGGAAGGAAGGAAGGAAGGAAGGGGGAAGGGAAGGGAAGGGAAGGAAGAGAAAGGAAAGGAAAGGAAAGGAAAGGAAAGGAAAGGAAGGGGAAGGAAAGGAAGGGGAAGGAAAGAAAGGGGAAGGAAGGGGAAGGAGAAGGAAGGGGAAGGGGAAGGAAGGGGAAGGAGAAGGAAGGGGAAGGGGAAGGAAGGGGAGGGAAGGGGAGGGAAGGGGAAGGAAGGGGAGGGAAGGGGAGGGAAGGGGAAGGGAAGGAAAGGAAGGAAGAATGTTGGCAACACATCTTTAATCCCAGCACTTGGGAGGCAGAGGCAGGTAGATCTCTGTGAGTTCGAGGCCAGCCTGGTCTATATATTTTTTTAAAGGGGGGAGGGGATAGAGGGAGGGAGGAAAGAAGGAAGAAAGGGAGAGAGGAAGGAAGGAAGGGTAGCTAAAATGTAAAGAAATTTTCTTTTGACTTAAGAGTGACTTCTGCTAGAATGTAAAGAATCCTGTTGGTTGGGAGGACAGAAAACAGGAGTAAGCGTTGGGAACCAGACTTGCCCTGAGGGCATAGAAGGCTCCCAAGTGTCCACAATCACCATGATGTTCTTTCTACTCAGCCAAGGTCAGTCTGTGGAATCTTTAATACAGACACAGCTTCTTCCAAGAACTTCAACGCCGCACACTCTATTAAGGAAATGATTGACAAACCCAACCACATTAAAATGACTATACTCAGAGCCAGGCATAGTGGCACTGTCTGTAATCCCAGCACTTGGGAAACGGAGGTGGGAGGACCCCCTGAGATCAAGAAATTGAAGGTGGCCTGGGCAACATATGGAACCCTGGCCCACACATCCCCCAAATTATCGTCTTCGGGTTTGGGTGTGGCTTAGTGACAGGGTGCTTGTTTGGCATGTTGGAGGCCCTGTGTTCTCTCCCCAACACTACAAAAGAAAAAAACTAACATATTTTCAAGAAAACATGTCAAAGAGAATTTGGAAAGACAGTCAGTTAAAAAAAAAATGTATGTAGGGCTGGAGAGATGACCAAACTGTTAAAGGCAAGGACCTAAGAACAACAAAATGTGTGTGTGTGCACACCCACGTGTGGAAGTCAGAAATAAACCTCAGAGTCCTTCCCTAGGAACTATCTACCGTTTTTATTTCTTTGTTAAATCAAGACAAATTTTCACTATGTAGCCCTGGCTCACCTAGAACTCTTTATGTAGACCAGGCTGGCCTCCAACTCACAGGGATCCACCTGTCTCTGTTTCCCAAGTGCTGGGATTAGAGGTGTGCTCCACCACACTAGGGAACCTTCATTTTAGTGTGTGTGCACCTAGGTGTAGGTTCCTGCAGAATTGTACCAGGAGCCAGTAATGGAAATAAAATTTATTAAGGAAGAAGACAGCACTTCTGAGGATGAGGGTAAGTTACTGAGTGGAGAAAAGACATAGGTTGGACCAGGAGTCTCCTGACCCTTTATAGGTTGTTGCCATAGCAACTGCCTCTCCAGAGTTTCTTTGACTTGGCCTTTTTCTTTATTATTATTTTATTATTTCATGTGTATGGGTGTTTTGTCTGCATATATGAACCATGTTCATGTCTGATGCCTAAGAAGGTTAGAAGATGGCATCAGATCCCATGGGACTGAGGCTGTTAGCTGCCACGTGGGTGTTGGGAATTGAACCCCAATCCTCTATGCTCTTGACCTCTGAGCTAACTCTTCAGTCAGGCTTTTTTCTGTGTAAGTTCAGTTGCCTGTAGCCCAGCAGAGAAAGGGTTTCTTTTCCTCTGCCCAGTAGTTCTTTACATGTCAATCTTTTTTTTTAAAAAAAAAATTTATTGTATTATTTTTTCCTGTGATTACTGACATGCTAGCTATTTGACATTCATTGTGTACACTTAGTGTTTCCATTTTCATATAGCTAATACTTTGTAGCTTCTGTTGAAAAACTGAACTGTTTTATGATGTTTTTTGATATTATTTCTAGTTTTCCTGTGATAATTTCTGAAAGTTTTTTTATACACACATATATGTCTTTATATCTATACAGGTAGGTAGAAAGATAGATGTGTATTTTTTAAAAAAGAATTTTTGTTTTTGTTCTTATTTTGAGGCAGAGGCTCATGGAGCCCAGGCTGATCTTGAATTCACAATATAGCTAAGATGACCCTGAAATCTTTTTTTTTTTTGTTATTTATTTATTTATTTATTTATTTATGGGATTTTTGGCTTTTTTTTTTTCAAGCAGAGTTTTGTTGTTGTTTGTTTTTTGTCTTTTGGGGGGCACACCACCCAACGCCCAAATAA